GTAAACGGCATGGCCGTCCACCTGCTTGGTGAAGACACAGCGGTCTTTGACGAGCTGGGTGTACCCTTGCCGGCGCAAGTAGGTAGCTAGTGTCTGGTACCACAAGCGAGGGGCTTGCTTGAGACCATAAACACTGCGGAGGACCCGAAAGACATCGCGGCGATTCTTCGCGGTGTCAAATCCAGGTGGATGTTTGACGTAGACCTCGCAGTCGATTTCTCCGTTGAGAAAGGCTGTGATAACATCCATTGCATCGATCTCGTAGTCGAGAGACGCGCCGAGAGTAAGCATCGTTCGAAGGATTTCTTTGGCAATGACCGGGGAATAGCTCTCTTCGTAGTCAACGCCTTGAATTTGAGTGTGTCCTTGGATCACAAGTCGCGCTTTGTAGCGAGCGACGCGTCTCGTAGCCTCTGTGGCCGAGTCGTCGTATTTGATCTTGAACACCCAACGCATGCCCAGTGGTGTCGCATCTGGAGGCAAAGTGCCTGGTTCGAACGACCCGTTCGCCTCATGGGCTGCCAGCTCGAGCATCATGGCTTCAAGCCACTGCGCTTTGGCTGGCGATTTCATCGCCACGACAAGCGCCACAAGCGAGCGTGGCGGCATCAGAAATATGGTGTCCCAATTCGCCAATGGCCCCAAGTATTTTCGAACCAATATCGCCCCCACGGTGGAGCTTGAACCGATATACGCGATATCCCAGTCTCGACCCAACGCTTCAACGTACGTGTTGGAGTTGCGGGCGAGGCTCGCCCCGAATCCAATGGCTTTGGACATGTCGCTCCATAGCCCCACCGAAATTGTCCGCATGGACCATGCCGCCAAGCCTCGATCGATGTACGGCATCGACGCAATCTTCATCGTCTGGGTCATGATCAAGGCATTAACAATAGTAATGCTGCTGTACAGGCCATAATGGAATCGATTTTGAAACTGCAACGATAAATGGCATAACCCATGTTGTCTCCAAAGTGTGACTTCGTCGGCCTCGGGTAACCAGTTTGACGTTTGGCGATGTAGAGCGATCACCCACTCTAGGCAACCAGGCAAAACCATCAACGAAGCCAGAATGGTTTGGTTGATCTGGATGCCGTACGCGGACAGCGTCAAAGCATCCGAGTCGACGTTGCGCAACATTGTTTCCTTGTATACACCAGCGTTGGTCAGTTTACGGGTGACAACGGTCGTTCCGAAATCCCCAACGATTGTTCCGAATTCTCAATCCCTGTCCCACGTTCGGCCAAGTATACTGAAATCAAGTTTGAGTGTGGGAGGATGTAACGGGGTCCGGATAACATCCGGACACGACATCCCATTGGTCAGTTCCAATCCTGACCCGAGAGGACACTTGGCAATCCAAGTGTCTCGAATCACTGGCTCTGCGTCATCCGCAGCAGCACCATTCATTTGACATGAATTGCATGACTGGCGCGCGGCCGCGCGCCAAGGAAACCAGCTCAGAGATAGCTAGTTCTCTCAGTTAACAATATACCTTGTAATACACACCTTCCTCTGTGCGCCCCGTTACATATTCCCTGGTGAAATTTCAAGCGGCTAAGTTGAAGTTTGACTTGTATTCACGCTGCAGAGTACTGATGTCTTCGGGTTATTTCGGGGGCTCGTGTGGGGCGGGGAGAAGGCCTGGAAATGATCTGGGTAATTCTGGGGGGAGATGTCGACGCTACTGCTGTTTTGACGAAGTGAAGGAAGTTGTCAGGGCTGGAGTACGTTGCCGAATTTAGTCGATGGTTGGGTCTGCGTTGGATTTCGAGTAAGTGGGAATGTTGGTGAAAAGGAAGTTGGAGTGGTTAGGTAGGGAGGGACTCTTGCTGCAGGTGATGTTAGTGTTCGCCGGGTGATACAGACACTAGTGTTGGTAGGTTTGTTGCGAACGGAAAGGGGCTTGTTTGGGGGTAACAAAGTTGGTGGAGTGTAGTAGGTGTTGTCGTGGGTTCACGGGCTTATATGCTTCCAGTTGCCTGGCGAGTGCTCTACATCGAAATTCTACTTGGCGGATTCCATCAATGTCTACGTCAAACTCCAAGGATGATCGCTATGCCATAATTCCCTGATCGTAATAGGCACAGGGGACAGCCCACCGCGGTTATTTACTCATGTGCTCAAACTCGTACATAGCTAGGCCTCAGTTGGTCACAGAACTTGCCGACCTTGAAAAGATCAAGGAAAACCATGGAACCGTAGCAGGTTGGAATTATTTTTGCTGTCACAAGAGGAAGTATGCAAAGGGCTAAAGCATTGAGAAACGAGTGGATTAAGCCACCTTACAATTGAACATGCGACAAGCTGAGTTTATTCTACGGTTCCGCAGGCCACAGGTGTCGAAGTTGGGGCGATCGTAGGCACCACCGTCGTGGGGGCTACATTGGTGGTGGTCGTGGGGGCTGCAGTAGTAGTAGGGGGAGTAGTTGACGTGGTTGGCACGAGCGTGGTAGTGGTTGGCACAGGCGTGGTAGTGGTTGGCACAGGCGTGGTTGTGGTTGGCACAGGTGTGGTGGTGGTAGGGACGGGCTTGGGCGCGGGGGTTTCACCGTGGCAGTAGTTATCCAGGTCGATGTACTTGTCCAGATCAGATGCCGGCCCCAGGCCAGATTGCACATAACAATCGCGGACAAAGCCCTCCACGAGGTAGTGCAAAGCGCTGTGGCAGGCCCTGTTCTTGCACTTTTCGTCGTCGCTTCCGAGTTTGTCACACGAGGCCCTCCAGTTAACGATTTTGGTCGAGTTGCACGTCCACGCGGTGGTGGTGGTGGCGAAGATAGCCGTCAAGAGAAGGGCAAACAACAACGGGCGGTTCATATTGATTGGTCTGTGGACGACTGGGATGGAGTGGAAGTGATGATGCTAAACGGATCCAAGTTTACACTTGAGACAATGATGGAGCTTTTCCGACGGTTGCATTTGTACATTTTCACCGTCGGGTGACCAAGCTAATTACAACTCAGGCGGCTTTCCCCACACCTACATCGACATGGTTCGTCACATTTCTGCGATCACTATTTGTTGCCTTTGATTGTACTAGCTGTACAGTACAATTGCCAAGACTCTTCAAGGAATAGTACTACTAAGCCCGTCAATCGCGGAGTGATCAACACGGCACGAATGGCATTGCAAACTACAGTTCCCGTTCGAACACTTCCTTTCGTGAACTCACTCGGGAATAAATCCAACATATTATGGCAAGGCAACAGGCGCCGTCGGAAAAGTGAGAAAACTGCCGCTCTACTGGTAGACGGGCTGGAACTCTCAACACCACAAACGACAACCTATGGTAACGGTGGAAGCCGTCGGATATTCAGACTTATCGACAATGCTCTGTAAGTGGGTGGTTGCTAAATCACGAACACCAGATCATTGCACTCAGACTTCGAAACCAAGGGTTAAGGGTTCTTGAGTATGAATAGTAAAACAGTGCCACTGTTTTTCTCAGAAAACGCAGGTTGTTAATATAGGACACTTTTACTGTTAGAGTTAGAGCATCTTCGCCGCATCCCCAAATATCTTCGCCGCATCCCCAAATATGTCCCAACTCGATATTGGGATATCAGATGGGACAAAATTTCATCCAGTAAACAATATTGATTTGCCGATGCATCATTGATTTGCCGAACTTTTGCCCAATAGAATGTCAGAATTGATATGATTGGATAAAACTACTGACCGCAACAATGAAACCCTTGGTTGAGTCAATACTAACTATTCCGCAATTATGTTATAGAGTTTCAACCTTATTCAGATATGATAATGAAATACTTTATAAACGAATATTAACTGTATAAATAGATATTTGTATGTTTGCTCAGCCCATTTGCAATACTTTAATTAAGTCTAAATTTCGGCAAAAAAAAACAATGATTCAGGGCCCGTCTGGCAACCTGAAATATTACAATACTCTGGCCCAAAACGCCATTTTGGGGCCGAATTCAATAAATCTGATCAAAATTGAAACATGTCTTGCTTGAAGTATTTTACAGTTAACCCAAATCCAATACTTCCAAGTGGGATGTACTCCTTGAGGTGCTCCAAAACGCCACATTAACGTTACAAAATGAAACTTTACTTCCATTTTGAAAATGGTATTTTTCGTTTATCCCATATTGCCAGAAAATGGAATATTATTTTTGAAATTACCAGACGCCCCCTGTTGGATTGAGTGGACATCTTTACAATTTTATTACTTCAATTCCAGAGATTTAAATTGACTTGTGTATGAATCTAACTATGGAGGGATTATAATAATGCAGCTTCCAAGTTCAAGTTGTAAAAACTGCATGAGATATGCTCCAAACAACACAATCAAAATTCGGTAAATCAATGATTCTTTACGTTATAAATATAGATGATGTATCCAATCAAGCTGCATTATGATTGGAAATCATCTCAGAATTATTTATACGCGCAAATCCCCCGGTTTTTTAAAGTTATTACAGTAGTGTAAATACACGCGTAATTCCCACACTTTCCGTAACACGCGTAAAACCCCCAAAAAGCACGCGTGAAAACATTTCCTAGTCCACATCGACTATACATGTACAGTATACCAGTAGACCGCGACGAAAGCCCTGATACTCGTGTTTACACTGATAACGTTACATTTTGAGTGTGAACTATTGCGAATTATCATGTCACTTTGAATAAGCTTAGATGATGTATTTTGCCGTTATAGTTATGTTTTCTACTACTAGTACTAGTACTTCGTAGTACAGTTCTACGTACGTAGTATTTTTCTGATAATAAAATATACTTCGAAACCCCGTACGTAGTACTTGCTATAAATAGATAATTTTTTGAGAACCTGGTCGCAAGTGCGCCATGATGACTCTCCTTGCTCTCATCCTGTACCCACGGATATACCCCCGTATACTCCGCAACGGATGTGTCGTCGGGTTCTTCAACATCCACGCAATCGTTGTTCGAAATCGAGGTCGGAAAGCGCTTAATGGGGTAAGAGGACCGCTTTTTGGCTCGCTTGTCAAAGGTTCCTCTATGGACAATACAACCAGTTCTTTCAGATCGTCAGCGCTGGACTTGCCCACTGCAGCTGCTGGAAGTTCGACCAACACATGGATGGCTCACTCGTGTTCATCTCAGCAACAACCGCACAATATTCTACGAATATTCTATGAAGGGTTTTTATTAACGGTACATGATATTCTAAGAGAGCCACGGCGGAGAAGCCAGAAGTGACGGCGGTAGAAACAGGGGTAGAGCTTGTGGTGACGGGGGCATTTGAAGTGGTGCCCGCCAGTGGTGTGGCCACGAGCCATCAATAAACGAAGTACAAGAGCGTATCCAGGGGTACAGTGTCCCGGTGGTCGTCACAGCGGTATCCGTGGTGGTGACATGTGTGGACAGGGCAAGCATTACCGTGGTTGTCACAGTGGTGGTGACAGGGGCTCAAACACCAAACTTCGAATGTACTATGTACGTAGTAATCAGGATTCCTATACCGGTATTGATCTGCATACCAGTGGGCATGGCAAGGCATCGATTGCACCAGGTTTTGTCGCATGTTCTCCATATCCTTCGCTGCATCAAGAGCTCGGGCTCCAATTCGTCAGCCATGAATACGCCATCTCATCGTCAACATCTCTAGGCATGGGAAACCCCGAAACACTGAAAGTCGTCACCCGCGAAGCTTCTTTATCTCCTGGTCAATGAAAGGCATCATAGACGATCCATTTCACTCCGCCACGGCTACCATTATGAAGTCCAACACGTTCTTCGGGTACTCACTCCCCACGATGTGGTTGTCGTTGAACCAGGTCAACTCCCAGTGGTTGTTAAGGTCAGTCAACAAGCTCATGGGGTAGTAGTGCGGAGGGGCCTTTAGACTGGACTCGCAGCTGACCCAACTCCTATTATATGTTGATCTTCCTTCTTGATCTCGATGAATAACATGATCCCAGCCAAGGGGGTGGGAGGGTACTAAGATCTCCATTTGACACGCAATAAAATTTTTCACTGTCAATCGACTACAGCTCATTAATAATAAAACGTACTTCGAAGTAAGATAATACTTGGATTTTAAGGGCATGCGTAAGATGGTTTGTTTACGAATTATATTTGCTCTTCTCAAATCTATTCCATTTTCTTTGGTATTGTATTGAAACATTTTATTAGTTGATTAATCTTACGCTAAATCCAGCCAATGAATTTAACGTTGAATGGCTCATCGCGCTCTTCAATTACCTTGGTGAATAGAGCAGAGACTATTCTATCGACAGCGCTAACTTTACAGGTAGTTTCAACGTTTCAACATATCCGCCGTGCCGTGGATCCACGATGGTCAGCAGCTATGTATCAACACATGAATCGCTCTGGCTCCAACACTCCAAAGTACTCTTGGGAGTCAAGGGGGGGCCACGATTGCCACATCTCCTCGCTGCGTGTACCATGGCGTAAAAGAACCTTTTCATTATGGTCGTCCATCCGAGCCAAGTACAACATAGCTGGGTCAACGTTCTAGCGATAGCTGGTGGTTTTCACCATGTTCACGATAATCATGTTTAGCTTCGCCCCCTTTCGCATCTTACTGGAACTCAGTTTCTTGACCATGCACGGGGCATCTTAGACCCATCTTCTTTGGGCTAGAAAGTCTGCAACTGACGGACAAGAAGAAATCCCGAACCAGGTACAGTACAATAGTAATGCAACTCCAATCAGAGTGCTCCCAAGTGTGAGTTGTAAGTTGGCGCCACCTGTGATAATTGGACAAAGCGAAACCCGAAACACCAATCAGAATGCTCCGAATTTCCATTTTGGTGGCGCCAAGCGATGCGATTGGCCGAAATTTGAGTGATATTGAACTCACTGTACTGTATTGTAATTTTGTAGCTCGAAATTTCAGCCAATCAAATAGTTTACTTCGCACTTGCAAACTTTCTAGCATGGCAGAGGTGGAGCTATGGTGCGCCGTGTTTGGTGATCCAATTGTGTTTCCCCTGAAGATTGCTTGCGATGCGGACGTATGGGAGTTGAAGGAGGTTATCGTGAATGCGAGGAAAGCCCGTCAACCCTCACTTCATTCAGCTACGTTGACCTTGTACTGTACTTGGCTCGGAAGTACGACGTGTGGCTGAAGGGCGTCTACAAAATGAGGGCATTTCTACGCAATGGTGAAAGTACCGAGTACGAGAAGACGCTACCGGGTTGGACACTTGACGAAGAAGAGTGCTTTGGAGTCGAGTCGCCCCCTCCACCCAACGTAATCGCGAAATGTGTCAGTAGCCGACCTGGATTCCGATGAACGTGACCAAATCATGAAGAAAATGCCTCTAAAGACGAATGCCCCCATTTTAATGAGCCAACTGACACATCCGGAGTATTCTTGGATCCCAGAAGAGAACGAGGGGTGTGAGCGTGCTGGGGCCATGACGTACTTGCGTTTGAACGAAGCTGGTGGTGTGATGGGGACGACTATCAGTTGTTAGATGTCGCCGACGATACATCAGATGCATCACTGCTGGCCATCATGAACAGTGTCTACGATGAATGACCGGCGCAGCTGATATGTTGCTGGTTAAACGGCGAGGCCTAGCATCCAACCCCTTGGCTGGGGTCATGTTGGTCATCGCTATCAAGAAGGGAGTTCAACCATCACATAGTGGTCAGGCGTTGGGGCAGCTTGAGCGCTTGAGCGCCAGCCCCAAGGCCCCTCTACACTGCTACCCCATGAGCTTGTTGACTGACCTGAACAACCACTGGGAGTTTACCTGGTTCAACGACGACCACTTCGTGGGGAGTGCGGGGAGTGAGTACCGAAGAACCCGTTTGACTTCATTATGGCAGCCGTGATGGAGAGATATGGATCGTTTATTGTGCCTTTCATGGACCAGGTGATAAAGAAGCTTCACGGGTGACGACTTCTTGCCATGCCTAGTGATGTTGACGATGAGGTGGTGTATTGAGGGCAGACGCTTTGGAGCCCAAGTTTTTGATGCTCTGGTAGATCGTAGAATATCGGTTTATTGCTATAAATATTTAAGCAGAAGTTCCAAATCACACCAATTTGACATTCAAAGGAATGCTCGAGGTAGACAAACGACTTAGATTTACTGTTAACAGTCGTACCTGAGCTTAGGATTATTGTGGTTTGCTGATTGATTGCCAGAAGACATGACGATGGTAGTCGTAGCTTTCTGTCAATAGATGTCGATTGTATTATATTACTCTTAATCATTAATTCAAGAAATGTATACAAACATCGAGTATTTGAACGGTACTTTTAATCATCTAAGCCGGATACTAGTACTATATGGCAGAGCATTTTCACTTTCGAACACTTCAGACATGGCGACCATGATGGAGGCCGAGCTGATGCACCAGCGAGACGTCGCCAAGGAGATGGTCCATGAACTCCGAAGGCAGTTGGAACTGCAGCAGAAGCGCGAACGGGTCGTTGAGCACCGAGCCCTCACGGCAGAGCTGCGTCGGCACCAGTTCGAGGTGTCGTTGAAGCAGTGCCGCCACCACATGCAGCACCTCGAAGCAAACGTCAAGCACCACATCGTGTCCATATTGCTTGGAGGGTTACTCGGGGCGCTCTTTGGCTGGCTCGTGGCTATCATTCTCATCGTGGTCGACACACCAACCTTTGTCGCGATGTTCCTGATGGGACCTTTCGTCGCCGGCGGAGCAATCTTCGGAGTCGGCCTCGGTCTCGCCACTCGGCAGCGGAAGCTCCTCGCCGTGCACAAGAGGATACAGCACCCCGTCGTCTCGGCCAAGTCAACTCAGCCGCCGGCTAAGAGAACTGTCCTTCGAACCGCCATGGGGTGCGCCAAAGATGCATTGTTTGAATACATGCGATCCTAACAACTGGATAATAGATATTTCATTTAAATCAGATACTTCAACGTTGCATTTGATTGGCTGAAATAAGATATGATAATGCACTTCGAGTACCTGATTGGCTATTAGTGGGTACCTTGTGATTGGTTGAAATATCAGCAATTCTGACGGGGATTGGTTTCTACGTTCTCTTTACCAACTGGGATATGATGCGACCAGAAGCTTACGCGGAAGTGCAGGTCACGGAGATCGAGAGCGAAGACGCGGCGCCGCGGGTGCAATCGCCGACCCGCCGCCTGCACAAGAAGCCGGAGGACCAAATTCAGCATGTCAAGCCACCGGTCGCATCATCGCCGCTAGACAACGTAACCCTTCCGTCGAACATGCCCCGGCGGTGGCGCCATGGGTACCAGAACCTGTACGAGACGTTGTACTTGACCAACACGCGCGACGGCCAGCGATGCAACGTCATCCTCATGGTGCTCACAGTCGTGAGTGTCACCGTGGCCGTGGTCGACAGCGTGTCGGAGGTGCGGGAGGCGTTCAACAACGGCCTCGTGGTGGTGGAGATGCTCTTCACGCTGCTCTTCTCCGTGGAATACGCCATGCGTCTCTTTTGTCTACAGCACCCTGCCGACTACGCCAGGAGCATGTACGGCGTCGTGGACATGGTGTCCATCCTCCCCACCTACCTCGGTACATCATCTGTTCCCTTCTTCTCCTCCTTTCATCCACATGCCTTCATAGCATTCCTCACCGACGACGCGCGACCCCTCATGCATCTGCTCGTTCTGCGCGTCTTTCGCATCCTTCGGTACATACCTTCCTCGTTCGTTCCCTCGTCATTTCTTACATGTCGTAGCGTGTTTCGCATCCTCAAGCTCGTACGCTTCATGGAGGCCGCATCTACATTGGTGGACAACATCCATCAGAACAAGCGCCGCATCGCCGTGTTCCTCTGCGCCGCCTTCGCCATGGTCCTTGTCATCGGGTGTGCGATGTACTTAATTGAAGGGGAGCGCCACGGGTTCTCAAACATCCCCAAAAGTATGTACTGGACCGTCGTGACCCTCACGACCGTCGGATATGGCGACATCACGCCCAAAACTGTACCCGGTCAATTGTTGGCCACAATCGTCATGTTTATGGGTACGTTCCCGAGTTATTGGCGTTTTACCCAATATTTTTGGACGTTTTGTGCTGATTCGAAGTCACACACTAATTGAAGTCACACACTAAATAACTTTGCTACAATCAGGGTTTGTGTACCTTTCATATTGTGTCGATTCATTATTATTCTCATGTCGGTTCAGTTTAGAATATACAATAATATATCTAGGCTACGGGCTAATTGCGTGTCCGATGGTGCTGTCCGCCGCCGCGAAATCGCCGCTTTCGCTGGAGGACATGGGCTTCCGCATCATGCACTGCCCATCCGCCCCCACATGCAACCCCTTCATGAACCTCCATCAGGATGACGCGTTGTTCTGTCGAAAGTGCGGCGCCAAACTCACCGCGTTTTTGTAACCATAAACAGGATAACGTCATAGAGGGGGTCTGGCGATAACGTCATGTACTACAGTAGTATTCAGGATCTTTTAACATGTAGTGTTTCAATGCACGTGGGAAAAATCCAGTCCGGCAAAGTCGTGCAACGCCGAGTCGAGCCCTGCCACTTGCAGGCTGTCGAGCTAGAATCGATGACGTGATCCGTTGATGACGTTATCAAGGGATGACGTCATCGTACCGCATATACGCTCGTCATGGCCAGAACCACGTTGTCCAACGCCTGGGCATCCTGCACCTGCGACAACGCAATCGAGTGGTCCAACGAAGGTGCAATGTGCACATTCACTACGGCAGAATGATGGTCCCCGATCTGGTCCGGTTTCAGTGTCCGCAAGCGTCTGGATTTTTTCTTGGCGTGGACGGCGTACGCCTTCGCGGACGATTTCTACGCTGCCACGTCATATATTCGTTCTAACTTGATGATTGTATAGAATACAACTAACTGTATTCTATACAAACATGTAAGTAATATGGTACATACGTGGTAAAACCCAAACGGCCGGGGGATCGTGCGGCGCCCGTCAGCCGTTCGCATCGTGTCAACGTTCAAATGTGGTGCAATGGACGCGTGAATTGTTTGGAGTTTTCGGGCTTTTTCCAGTTGGGCCAGTCGCATGCCCTCCACAGCCTTGTCGAACGCCGCCACCGGCGCTGGCTACTCGATTTCAGCACCATGGAATCAGATGGGCGGATCTGAACCAGATGCATGCCCCGAAACCCCGGGGGATGGAATCAGATGTAGACGGATCATAATCGGATGTATAGGGGGTCAGAATCAGGTACATGGATCGGATCTAAATTCAGATGTATGGATGGATTGAATCAGAATCAGATGCGCGGGTCCGTGTATCGTCGTGTGTCTCATAACCTTGGGTGAATGTACCATCATAATCAGATATGTGGATCGACATTTGGCGTCCGAATCAGAAAGACTGGTCACCGTGACATTCATCCGAATCAGACTCAGGGTTGATAGGTCGAACTAGAAGCAGAAATAGATACCTCGGCGGTGACAGCGTAAAACAATTCGAGTCGATCCGTGGCTGACAAGCGGAGCTGGTCGTCGTCGTGGGGGGGGGTCTGCATGGGACTGTCCAACGGACTTTGCCGTTGGTCGAGTTGCTGCGCTCGTTTCTGTCGTTGCTCGATCGCGAGGTCGTACAATCGATGTCCAATGTCCTTTGAGTCATTCCGTTGGGGAAATTTCGAGTGAATCTCAGGGCTAAACGTGCACTCGGCGGTGGCGCTGTCTTCCAGCTGCACGCGAAGTTCGTGCACTCTCACTTCTTCCTGGTTGTGCCGGTCAGACAACAGATCGACGGCGTCCGCAGCTTTCCCATGCAATGTGTAGTGGCATGATCTTTGGGGGGTTCGGGGTTTCGGAGTTTCGGGGTTCTGAGGCTTTTGTTTTGTATGATAACTTTGGGCTATCGTTGGTTGGATCCTCGAAATATAGTGCCGACGACAGCGTTTCCATATCTCAGAGCGTTTGGGCATGTTCAGCACGACACTTTTCACCCACCCCCGAAAGTCGCCATCTGTGACGTCGTTTCGAACGGCTGTAACGTCGCTCTCGAACGACGGACCTGGAGGCAATAGCCCTACGCCATCGTCACAACCTTATTTTTACAGTGTTATGAAACGCATACCAAACCAAGTCAGGACATGTTCCATTTGAGTCACACTTGGAAACTCAAGCTCTTGTGGGGATATGTCAACTGAAGCTATTTGCGCTGTAAAGTCCTTGTCAAAGCGGTCTTCACAACGCTGTTTGGACGCCGCTGTCATCTGCACCGACGTCTGCACCGTCGCATCAATGGCCTACAATATATTTGGTGTTTCGGGGTTTCGGGGTTTGTAATTCCCTACTCGTGTCGATTGTTCTTGAATCCACGCCGTTTTTAAAGCCTTCTGTTGGGCTAACGCATAAAGTTCGTCACATACGTGGCCCCCGTGTCGTTTATGTCGCCAGTGCTGCTGCCTACTCCGTATTCAACATAAAAAATTCTTCAAAGATCATAGAAACCAAATAAAATGAGCGGTCAACCGTACTTGGAAGGGTTCACTTGGGGGCGAAATAGCCGTTGGCCGGTTTGCATGTCCAGTGCCAGCCTTCTTTCCCGCTCCAGCTCGTTCAGTTCTTGTTGTTCGGCTTTGGCGAGTAGCATTCGCTCAATGCACGCATCTGCGGTGGCTGCTATCCACCCGTTTTTTTTTAAGATTCGAATGCTGCCCTGGCTGATGATGCGGGGGGTTTCGGGGTTCCGGGGTTCCGGGGTTTCTTTTAACTGCACGGCGTGCAGGCGCTGGGCTTCTCGCGCGTGCTCTTTCGTGAGTCTGATAGCCAAATCGCTTTGCATTCGAGCCACGAACGCTTGGGTTTGTTTGGAGGTCCTATACATCAGAATTTTGCCAGGTCAAGTTATAGAAAGGGGGTTTCGGGGTTATATATGAAGAATTGACGGACAGGATGGCTTTAAGGTTCGGCGACATGGACTGAATCGCTGGAGATGACTGTTTTTGAGATGTTGAGTGGTCGTATTTCGCCGCTGCTTTGATCCACACTTGTTCGTGCACCTCGGCCTAATAATTAATTCAATTAGAAAAAGAATCATAAATCTATATATACTTTGCAACGAGTATGCACGTCCATGTCGAGGTGGTGGTTAAGCCCATTCAGCAGCACTTGCAGTCTATTCCAACAATCATGTCAGATGATAATGAATATATATATATATATATATAGATAGATAAAAGAAGAATTCTGGTACCGTAAAATATATTTATGTGTATATATTTCACCTCTGAGATTGATCTGGTACCACCATGGTGAGCGGTTCGTTCGAGTTTGTCCAGGTGGTGACAATGTCTTGGAAATTCCGCAGCGTCAAGATGGGGTTGGTGCTGTGACGAGAGAGTGCCACGTCATACTGCGCCATCGACACAATGTACGGAAATAACTTTGTGGCTTTTAATTGATCCAGCAGCGCTGAAGGTGTGAGTCCATTGGTTTGCTGACACATCAGACCATTTCAATCGCATAATGAAGTAAGCAATATAGAATGTACCTGGTGGAGCCGCTCATAAGTGATGTCAACTTGCGACTGGTCGTCAGGCTAAACAGTGACATTTTTAAGCCCACTAGTATATACATTGATATGTATTGATAGATATTGTACATGTAAGGGTAGGTGCAGGGACAGCTGGAGGTTGTGGCTACTGGGCTGGGCACAGATGAACTCGATAAACGCATGTTTGGGCGTGGCCTGGGGTAGAATTGGTCGTTAGAACCAATCAAATGAATGCAATAGTACCTCGTGAAGTAGGATCGTGTTGTCGTCCAGCACGATACTCGCCCGTCGGTCTTCGGCAGGCATCTGACGTGGCACCTTCTCCGGGCTGCTTTCAGCGATCGGTCGGGGGATCTCACGTTCTTCCAACAAGGGCATAAACTCGTCACCGAAGTCATCGCACTTGACTGGGTTTGTGTCAGTTGTAAGCGCTTGTGTTTGTATACCAGGGGCGATCTCTCGAGTCTGAATTGGAACTTCAAAGTCTAGAAAGACATTGCTGAACGCGTTGGCTGGCTGAATAGTCGCCATCTCCGTGGAATCTAGGCTAGGTACGTTCACAAGCTCTGGGCGTCGTACGTCCCAACTGCCATCGCTGGACAAGTCAGCTATAACTCCGCCATGATCATCATCATCATTGCCCTTGCTTTTACACGGCTGGGGCTGCTGTGGGGGGGTACCTTGCCGAGTGGTTTCGAGGAGGCCAATCACATCCACCCCCCCGTCGTCGCCGTCGCTGAACAGACCGTCGGCATCATCGGCCGAATCAAAGTCGTAAAACGTGTCCATGAATGTGGCGGTGGTAGTGATGGGGATATGGAAATGGTATACAGTAGAAACCACCTCCTCCTCTAAAAATAGAGTCACGGGGCACTTTCTACCGTCGATCAAATCATGTATATCGTCCACATCACTTCCACATTGCATCCATGAACCTGACGTTGACTCGGCAGAACGACGTACTCTGGACAGCGTCGGTCCTCGCTCTGGTACAGTCCATAGTGCCCCTCAAAAGTTACCAGTCACATTATGGATTGGTAATTTTGTTTGTTTTAGATGGGGCTGTTGCGCAGTAGCGAAGACCTCCGCAACGGATTTCTGTGGGAGAAATTCATGCACTGGGCGGTGTTTGGGCTCATTTTTGTCTTTTGCGGGGGCACGTTTTTGGCTAGCCTGCAAATCTTGCAGTACGAGCCGCACCAGCCTTGGGTTCAAGTACGTTTCGATCCCCCAATCTCCACATAACCCCCGAAACCCCTCAGCGACTGCTTCACATTGACATTAGTGGTTGCTTCGTTACCCGCTGTGGTTGTTTGCCCGATGGCTATTCGTGCACACTTGTGGCAACTTGGCCCAATCCCTCTGCTGTTGTTCCCCTTCTGCGTGGTATTTCTAGTATTATATGACACATGCATTCTGGAACTGTATGGTAGCCCCATTGAATCGTCTCTTGCCCCCCTGCTGCAATTGAGCGAATGTGGTGACGGATGCAGTTTCTGGTCGGAGCGGCTGTATACGACGGTGTCACAGGCCGCGTCGCTGGTGGCCGTGGTGAGTCCAGCCCCCAAAGTAGTCTGAAAACAGTTATGATTTCGTACAGGAACTCATGCTCTATGCATGGGACACCCGCCAACAAGTCGCGCCTTACACTGTCGTCGCTACGTAATGTATATCGTGTTGGAACCAAGTAGTTGTAGTGTCACCCCAGTGTATTACTACGTAGTAATATACTTCGTAGTAACCCCGAAACCCCGAAACCCCGAAACCTTCCTCCGTTCCGCAAAACTGGAGACATATAATTCTCGGAACGATATCTCAGGCCAACAATCCCAAAACCGAACTAAATTTCGACTACAGATAGCCAATCAAAAGACGATTCTGAAGCTATTTTCAGATTTGTTTTATTGTTTCTTGTCGCTCCGGTGCTCAGGTCAGGAAATTTTCAAACATACGCCACACAGTCATTTTTCATTCAATCGCGCTCAAATCAAGCGCAAACGACTCGCGGCGCTGCGTAGATATTGCTAGAGCCCATCAGAATTGGAATCCCACAACTGGGCGCGGCATACTTAAGAAATTCAGCCACGACCAAGTTGGTATTTGGTGAGGGGAAGTCATACCATCCTCGTGTTGTACCGATTGATGCATGGTTAGCAGGTGCTGCAATACGAGAGTGTGGTTAGATACTCTAGACGCCTTGGTAGATGATGCCGCGAGAGTACTAGTGCACGTAATGCGTCCCTAGACCGCAGCGCCTGCTCGGCCAGGGCCTTGAGTCAGCAGGGCATGCTGAGGCCTGCTGCTTGCATAACCTGCTTAGGAGGGCATGCAAGTCGTTGACATCAGCCGCTTGCACGACTTGCTGGTTCAAATCCCTGGCCGAGCAGGCCCTAAGGCCCTACGGTCTAGGGATGCATCGGTTGCTCCACCAGCCCGATCGCTGTCATGTCCGTCATGGATGCCTTCATTACATTTTACGTTTGTATGTGGACTGGTGGCCAAGTCAGCACATGATGAACCTTCTCGTCGTAAAATCAAGTTTGTGAATAAAAATACACTTTTTGACGGTAGAGCCCATACAAACATTAAGATAAAAATGCAGGGAAAACCAATGTCTCCAGTTTAACGGAATAATCAGCTATTAATAGTTACACTTGAGCACTTTATAGAAAACAATGCAGTGACATGACCCTGGTAGGGTAAATTGTTGTTTCGGGGCTCCTAGTTGATCACTCACTAAAACGTGTGGTGATGACTGGAAAACGTGAAAGATGTAGAGATCTCTGGCGTAATAATCGATTGCCAAAACGCACAAAGTCATACCACCACACTTCCAAATTGCACATCAAAATGACAAAATGAACCAGGCTCGACAGCCCAACATGCACTGAATGGCAGCTTTCCTCGCTCCATATACACATACCCTTGACTTTCTATTCAATTGTTGGCATACGTGGGACTAAAGTATTCGCCGAGAGGTCGATGTGTGGGTAGATATAATGCGTAGGCTCCATCTTCACGACACTTCAAATCACAAGAATTCGACTCACTGTTCTTGATCTTGTCAATACACTTACCAGTTAGGTACGGAATAGATGGTGCTTCGATACCTGCTGAAGGAGTCTGTCAGTTGGCTATTTCTCCACGCGAGTGTCCAATCTTACTGCTGCCACTCAGTCCCCACATACTTGTATGTCTATTATGCTTTATAAACCCCTGGATATAGTTCAGACAATTCGTGCCTTATACTGTGAGCGGATGCAGCCCATGGAAGCTGGGTCTGGTCCTGTCCAAGTGTATACCCATCATCCTATCGCAGCCATAGGTTGTAGTAGGATCGTATTCTCTCCCAGTCCTTTGAACATATAACTTTGTTACTACGTAGTATGACTGTCGTAACCATAAACTCATGATATATGCCTTGGGACGCCACACATCCACAAGCCAAGCTGTCCACTGGCGTTGCCACGTACTTCATGTACTTGACCTATACTAGTACTAGTACAGTACTACTACGAAGTTGTACATAGTAGTCCTCCCAGTGCTGCCAATGAACCACTAAGTACAGTACTGTATTGTATTGTTCTATCGGTAAGCTTGTCGCACAACTAACTTTAGTATATTATATACTTGGGAAAACCTCCACCATAGAACGAACTTACTGGACATTTGCCTATTGTGAGATTTACACTTGCCATAGAAACCATAGCAACGACATGAAGCCAAACGCTGCCAGCAGCACCACGACCCAGAACCACACCCATCCCACCACCGTGTGCATCAAGCTCGCATCGTCCCCATATCCACTGTACATCCTCCTCTTCCTATGCGGCGGCGGCGGCCTCCTCGCCTTGAACGCCGACCTCGGAACGTCCGGTTCGAGTCTGGGATTGGCTCGAGATGCACGGTGTCGCAGATGGTGGTGGACAACATCCGGATAACTGGACGGCGTGTCGTAAAACTGCAGCTTTCTCGACAGCACGGGCGACTGCATGGCTTTCTTGGCGTTCGGAAAGGCATGCCGCGGGACGAGCAGGGGGCGGATGGCGTGGGCCAATGCGGACGTCGGCACTTGTCGAAGGAGTTCGTCCACAACTTGCTTGGGAAGTTGCTCCAAGTACGCGTGGACCAGTGGCGGGTCGTCGCCGTACTCCGCGCGGCTAGATCAACATCAAGGTGTCGGGGGTTCGGGGTTTCGGGGGTTCGTGGTTCACAAGATATATATCGTACGTACTGGAACTCAAACAACAGGGCGAGAGGCTCGTAGCCGTGTCGTCGGACGTTCTGCCGGTCGTCCATGAGGCAGTTGGCGATCAACGCAAACAGGTCGATGTCATGGAGCTCCTTGGGGTCCCAGCTGCCGAGAATTGTGGGGATTTGATCCACAAACGAGATGCAGTAGTTGACAGACTCTGCCGTGGAGATGAGAAAGGACATGGGAATATGGTGACGAAGGGTATACCTTCTTCCGACGACAGACGTTCGCCAGCTTGCACGACTACATGCAGGTCGTAGCTGACGCGTTCTGTCCACACGGTCAAGCATTCGCGGGCCTTGGCAGCAACGCGCGCATCCGTGTGGGTGCACAGGAGTATCACATGCACGACGATGCGATCGGCGACGGGGCGGAAGGATTCGCCGCAGAAGAGCCCGCTGCAAAAACATAGCTGGACGATCGAGAGCAGAACTTGGGTGTGGGTGCGCCGCTCTTCTAGACGGTCGACCATGTTGTCCTACGACGAAGAGGAAGAGACAATCGCAGGTGTGTCTGTCACGTACGACAATGTAGTCGAACGAGCTCAAGAAGTACTCGACGTTCAGGTTCCGCCGGTCGTGGTGGAAGGCGAGGCATTTCCCGACCTGGTCCAGCGCACCTGCACAGGCGGCAGGAGTGGCATGGCGATTCCGCAGGGTGGTGTGGCATGCTCGGACCTACCCCAGTCACACTCATCAACGACATGATCAAATTCAACCACGTTACATGTTCTCGTAGGTCTGCCATCGTCGACACGTCTGGCGCTGCCTGCCGCCGAAGCATATTGCCGCGATGATTCAAAACTCAAAATGTCAAAAGTCGACGACGGATAAAACACATAATTATCCGGACATACGTCACTTTATACGGAATGAAACGCTTGCATGTGTGCGAGTGAAGGAGCGCGAGGGTCGGCGTGGTGAAATGGCACTGCCGACACGTCTGTGGCGCCAGATGAACCTCCAGCATGTGCTCCATCAAGACAACAGAGTCGATGCAGACAAAGCCGCACTCCCGACAAGACTCGCGGAAGAGGCTGCGCAGACTCGCATGCTTCGACTGCATTTGTCTGTCGGGGTGACGCTTCCGTCGTAGCATGAGCAGCATGGCGAATGCCGCCGCCATGACGATGGTGGCCACAGCCCCTACGACCCACGACTCACTCGGGGAACTTGCTTGGGAAGATGGCGCCGCACCTTCCGTGGGTGGATCTCTACGTCATTTGAACTGTAACCGCACCGTGGGCACGATCGAGTAGAGCTGGGGACCTTGGGCACTGTCGTTCCCACCACCTACTCCATTGTGTACATGAGTAGTCTATCTTCAATTGGATATCACTAGTTATACCTTTGCCATCACCTGGATCTTGCCATGAACGTGTGGGCAATCACTGATGGAATCAGGCTTGCCTTGACCACTCAGGTGATCGACCGGCGACGATGCCAGAGACGTGCGTGCCATGGCCGCATGTCTAATGGAAGGATGAGAGAAATCCAAGGGAAGATGATGATGGCAGATACCCCATCAGGATGGGAGGACTGGTCGTGGTCGTCCCCCGCGGTCTCGTAATGTACAACCTCCCCGGTCATGTTGAAGCGGTTGAAGTCGACGACTTTGGTCGGTTGGGCAAACTCGTCGTGTCGGAGGAAGAGGTCAGAGTCGGAGATCCCAACCACACTGCTCCTGCCTGTGCTAGGAGACGCGTGGAGTCAATCATGGCGAAGCGAACCATGGACGGGATACATGTTGAGGGCGTGCAAGGCAGAGATGCCGAGTCCGTCAAGAGAAGACTCACTCAACCCAGGAAGAGTGGTGAGATCGCCATGAGAGACGATGCACAAGTGGAGCTGCCTACCCCTCAACGAGCGGCAGCAGCATAACCATGATGGCGGCATCATGCCACGCCATGGCCGTCGTGTTGAGCTGTGCCCGTCGTTGTAACGATGTGCGACCCATTTGTCAAGTTTTTGGTCCTTACAATAACCTTTAACATATTATAAGATAACCTGTGGAATATAGTAAAGCGTCTGTGATTGGCCAGAGTACAAGTCATTTCACGCGTGGGAGTACAGTTTGTAGCTATTAAAACGCTGGTTCATTCATTTCAATCATCTCGCAGAGTTAATTTCATTACGTACTAATCTTTCGCCTTTTACTAAAGATTACCGTGGAATTGACTCGACTCGATGCGACTTCAAAAATTTATGACCTCCCTTTGGGAGGAACCAACCACACAGCTCCATCGACTTCCAACACACTACTCACATCACCAAACACAAATTCTACTATGCTGTGAAACATATTTACAGTTAATATGGCAAGAATGGGCTCTCATACAACGCAGGTCAATCAAAGGCAAGTGAACACCTCACCCAAAATAGCACCAGCCCCTTAGGGGCTGGTCTGTGAAAAACCATCCAAGCTTTACAGTTAAGGCAGGGAAGTTATCCGAACTATTTTCGAGGATTTTGAAAATATATAAAAAATATTTCTTGATTTCTGTCGAAAACGTGCAAATGAATCCAACTCAGGCGTGAGGTTATGTTATCCGGAAAATTCACTTTCTAGCCAATCAGGAGTCGTATTTGCGTTGATGCGTGGACGACCTTGCGAACCTACTAAAACCTACTGTTTCACCTTAGCCCCTAAAGCTCTCGATAGACCACATACTGTATACAATGGATTGTACTCGGATGCCGTCTAAACGCAAAGACTTTTTAATACAGTTAGGACCAAGTACAATACTCGAAACCGGTTTCATGTCATACAACGAACATCACACACGAGTTGAATTAATTGTCTTAAGATTACATACGATTAATATCAAACCATTCATAATCACCAACCTCTTCCAAGTTCCTTCTATACTCACAACACAAGTAGCTCACATACAATCACGGCTCAATACGCGAGGCAATGACATGCCATTTAGTGAGCATGTCATCGTGATGGCAATTAAACCACATGACAACGTTGGTATTGTAGTCAACTGTTCTAGGCGAATTTTGATCAATCTTTCAAATTAATAAAATTAACGCCATCGAATACATAACGCCATATTGAGGTGACAATATTATTTCCCTCATTCTCTACCTACCTGATCATTCAATTCGATGACATCGCTCGTGCAGACTCAAGGTACTTATTGTCCGACATCTCTCACCACCCCTGTTCTATGTAGCTGATCTATCCATTCAATACTGTCGTAAGCAGTGATGTTTATAGTAACGTACTTCCTCTGTTCCAGGTTACTGCCGATATTTACTTTAAATTGACACAGACAATCGAGCCCTCACTCAATTTGGGCGAATGATACTTTGAAAGGGAATTGCATGAATTTTCGCAAAAGATTGGTTTATAATAAGCGCTTAAAGCACTTGTAAGCCAATGAAATGTCATAAATGTTCGATATTGATAGAACTTGAAGAATTACAGCCAATGAAATGCAAACGTCGCAAGTAACATGAGAATGTTGAAATGTCGCAGTAACCTGGAACAGAGGAAGTACGTGTTTTCGGCACTGCTGTCCATGTCATTCATACCAAGTTTGCGTCGACCTAAATGTAGGAAACGTGCCGACAGCGACCGCCTTGAAGGGTGTGTTCCAGCTTGGGGGCCAGTCGGAAGCCATTCTTTTCCTCGGCAAACGCCCCAGAACCTCAAGGGCGAGTGGATGCCGAGCAATCCTACGCCGTATTTGTAGAATAAGCACCAAATGGCCTTCCAATTGAACCAAAACAACAGCGTGGGGTGGTGTACTAGGTAAGGTTGGGTCGGGTCGTCCACCCTAACGCACTGTAGTAACATTCCAGTCAAATACTAGTACCGTACTAACTACAGTACTTGCCCATTTAACCTCACAATTCAAGCCAAATACTACGTAATACTAGTACTAGTAATACTATGTGCCTCGCGACGCAAAGTCGTGCAAACGGTGGTTTCCCCGCCGTTTACATCGTCATGTCGTACCGTCGTGCGGCATTAACGAACATACGACCGCTTCAACCTCGGAATGTACGTCCCAAGGCGAAATCATATCAACTACAAGCGGAGCCTCCCAAACTACTCAAGCTTGAGTACAAGCCACAATCAAATAATATAATTTTCATGGTTTTGCAGACTTGAAATTGTCGGCTTTGACGGAGCGGGCCACCAACCCAAAAGGTATGGAAAACACTTGCGCTTTCTACATGCGTTCTTGTCGCTGCCTGTCGCCCATTGACTTCGACCCAATACGACCACTAGAGCTTTACATCCAGCGATTAGACTCGGGATTTGAGTACTACTAGTACTTTGTAGCAATTGAGGGAAATAAATATACATGGTATTACGACTTACTAGTATCAAACTATTAATACTGTAATCACATCTGCTGATTTATATATATACTGGATAATATCACTGGGTTATATTTTTTATGATTTGAATTATGTATAGTAGGTACAGATACGAAACCAATTCCAATCCCCATCACGTACAACGTCCAAACAAATACTCTACTAATTTATACCGCTCTGTTAGGCATAACAATCTACACATATAGGTGGGGATAGAATTGTCGTATTCGCCAAGTTATCCATACATAATTTGAATCAAGTGAACTATTATGTATGAGCCGTAATCGTGATTATTTTTGTAAAACCGACGAAAGAGATCGGAACGCAGATATGTCCAACTTCACCTAGAGAATAATAATATTTAAATGAATAATAATAAGGCGCAACTGGAACGAATGCCCCATGGTCAAGCACCGGAGGAACGTCATTAGTGAAAAATCGAGTTCTGGTGACGTGGCATCCTGTACGCCACCGAATTCGTGCTGTCGTACATCCACCTTCCGTTCAAGTTACTGCTACAAATTTAAGAGTTGAATTACCCCGAAACGTAGTTTTGGGGTAATTCAACTCTCCGGTGTAATTTCTTCATCGTTTATACTAACGTGCACAGCGGAGGTTGTTCCAATGGAGTTTTCACACTGACCAAATATGTTGTGATGAGTGTTATAGTACCTTGCTACTACTACCGTAGTACTAGTACTACGTAGTACTCCAGGGTACTATGTAGTACTAGTAACTGTAAAGGCATACTAGTAACTGCACAAATACTGTAGAACAGTAGTGTGTGCATGGCATTTGGGTTTGGATGGAAGCGCTGAATTTGGGGTTTCGGGGTTCCGGGGTACTCTATGCAGTACTGTACCGGTATGGCGAGAGTAAAGTCAGCCCGACCCTCCAATATGAAGAGTGGATGAGCATGGGCGTCGTACATGTTGTACATGCTGTTTGAACTTTGAAGCTTTACCACTAGTATAACGTCTTTAGTAGTTCGAAGTAGAATTACAGAACACGTTTTTTTCAATCATAGGTGACACTTTCGCTGCTGAGGAGGTACACTAGGAGGAGGCTTTGCGATCAAAACCAGATCACAAAGCCACCTCCAAGCCTTGAATGCCTTTTGAGCTACGGTGGCGTCAACTACCGTAATTAGTTCGAAGTCACCGATCGATGTCTTATATACGAGTCGTTAAAAACTGTAGGAATTTGGAGCAATGCTGCCACTTGAGTAGTGATGTGGTAGTTTGCTTACTGTTATGTATACAGTACCAGTACTGTACTGTATATTTGCTCAGTTTCTTGGAAAGTCGTTCACCTAGTACGTTTACATTGTGAGCTCACGTTATTCTTATCAGTCTCTGCTTAACGCTGTAAAACGCGTCGATGCTAAAAATTCAAAGGGCGTGGATGGTAAGTCCGAACAACTCCGGGGAATGACAGCCCTTCAACTGCTGCAGCTACCTACTCATCTCTCCATACACCTTTACAGCTTAACTGACGTCATATCCATGGGTCGTCTGTCTAGTGTTGTACTACTGTACTGTGGGTATTCATCAATAGGAACACTAACAAATATATCCAGTCGTTTGGGTGCACCAGACTTTTGGTGGACATGTGAACTAATATCTTTGTTACGAATGGAGTGGCTGGTATGGGCTCGGCAATCCCCCAATTGTACACACATAGTGCATTTTTGATATATTAGAAAATACATGTGGGCCATAACATTGGAAGCGAATATTGAAAGATGTGTTTCATGGTTTGAATTTTGGTCAATAGCTCACCGTGAATCCGCAGAAAACGACATGGTAATGCTTGGCGATGCATTATCTACGGCATGTCAAAGTAGATCGACAGCAATGGCAACTTTTGGACTGCAATTTCATGTGCAATTGACAAAATTATGGGCACGAGACATTTTTTATTTCTGGCCATTCCAATGGAAACTGAGGTAACTATTGTATACCTCCCACAGAATACGAACTGCCCGCGATCTCGTAGTGCAAAAACAAGAGCTAGGACGGAACTTGCAAGTCAATCAACCCCCGCCGACTGCGGTACCCCCCTCAGCTCCAAGAAAACTCTATGTGCAGTCAAGTAGTTGACATGGAAGTATGGCGGTTTTCCCCCTAACAACTGAAAAGCTCAAATTACTGTGAGTGTTGTAAGTATGTTATATACTCTTCAAATGAAAGGCTGCTATTTTCCACCGTGACAGTACTTAACCCTTCAAATCGCTATGTACACGTTCAAATCTGTAGAGCGCATCATTGCAATGCCGAAGTAAAAATTAGGTGTTTATCTTGTGATTTCAAACTACTAGTACGGTAGACATGTTCGATTGTTATGAATTGGAAATGTACCCCTTTGATGAAATTAGAGTGATTTTGCACCAAGAATCCACACGAATTTTCCAATACAATTTCCCTGAAAGCCCTTCGGGGAATATCATGTTGGGAAGGTGCTTTTGCTATAGGAAAAATTCAAATTTGTTAAGCAGAGCTACCGCTGTGTGGGTTGTTGCGGCTCTTTTCGAGCACCTACCGGTAGGGCACGACTCCTAATCTTTAGGCATATCAACAACCCAGTGCAGTAGGTGCAGTTTGGGACCTTGCATCATTCAAGTGTTTTGATTGGCTACTCTGTGTGAAAAGGTATTCCCAGTCAGAAATTCTGACAGAATTTATTCATCAAGAAATTCCCAATTAATCAGATCAAAAGGCTCCATCGTGAAACTTTTCAGGAAATATCACGTAGCAAAATCACTCTATTGTAATAAAACTGGCCATAACATCGAGCCGGATAATTTGAGCTCAGGTACACACAATATTGCAAGTCGATTTTTGTTGTGCGAACCAATAGGGGTGCAATCAGTAAATATGGTTCTGGTATTTTAGACTACAAGGAGGGGGATACCGAACAACGGCATGAACTATTCAATAACGTTACTGAACTATTTAGTGAATAGCTGCTGGCTAGAATCATATCTAATTCTATTCCAGAATCATATCTATTTCACGACATTGGGTCATTTTCACATACTAAATCCTAGTTGCATATGGGGTCTTGGCTAACTTTGGCATACATATTTATGACGAAATTGTAACGCTGACCGCATTGCTGATCGCGTGTAGGTAGTAGTACCCCAGTTCTATGGGGGGTTTGAAGTCTCTCATACTGGAATTAATACCATGTAAAGAGACTTGACACCCTTAATTCGAGTGTGATTATGATGAAATATAATGCAAATGTGGAAACCCCGAAAGTTCGTGGGCTACAGCTACATAGTGTGTACACAAGCATATACATACTATATGATACTTTTATGCACTTGAGTGGAATGTGCCAAATGTTTAACTATGTATCCTGGCTCGCTTGCATTCGGCTGCATACCGGTAGGATTTTACTTACCTTCACCCTGGAGGTCGTGAGTTATAGGTATCTCCTCAAGAGCACGTTCAATTAGTCATCACGTGCACTTGAAAACAACGTGAAAAGTCTACTCATTCAACAAAGATGATTTACCGAGATTGTCCTGGGTGTACAGTTAATGGATATTTCATTCTGGATCCGTAGATCTAGATGAGAATCATAACTGCCAGCCAGGTACTATTAATTTCACCATGCTCAGCACCAGATACGTGTAAGGTTATTAGTTGCAGTATTTATAACGATTGTTTTGGTTGGTATAGCAATTGAAATAATATAATTCACCTCGAAATGTTTGATTGGACAATATTCATTGCATTTGGCGTATTTTTTTTTATTCTCCTTGATTCTACACGTAATGCAAGCTGCACTTGTGGTACTGTACTGTATTGGTGACTGGCAAAGTTTGATTCGATCAATTGGATCGTATTTGTGCATGCCATGATGATAAAAACACATCTAACGTTGTTACTACCGACTCCTGAACACTACCATTTGGAGGCAACCAGGTCAAGAGGTAAACAATCGTTGCGATTTAGCTTTACTATGGCGTCACATGAAGCGTTTCCTATTCTTGTAGTACTACGTAGTACTCATTCGTCTATAAAGGATACTCACCCAGTATGAATAATCATGAACGCGTCTCGGCCAATCATAATTGAACTGCCTGCCTCTGTATACCTCTGATTTGTTTGTGTTTATATGCATTTGAATGGGAATAGCATACGTCACTCACTCCCTTCACAAACCCAAACAAGCCATGGTCACACTAATCGACCAACGTTATTACTCCCGTGCCCAACACACGGTTTAATCAACGCACTAACTATTAATTACTACTCGGGCCGTCTGTACAGAAAGCTCACATTTGCACGTGCAACTTCTTTCTCCGAGTTATAACTGGCACACCGGTCGGGGGCCGACAGCGTCGCCACGTCATCGGGGCCCCCTTGGTCTAAGCTGGCACTTGCCACCGTAACCGCCACGACCAAGTGCGATTCCTGGGTCAGGTGCAGCAAAATCGTAACGCGGTTAACTTGATGGTCAAGTAACGGCCAGCTGAAAAAGTCCAGGTATATGGAGGTGTCGGCCGCTGGTTCTCGGCCAATGTAATCGCCATGCAGGAAGCCCGAGAGGTGGGTCATGCTGCTTTCTCCGTTAGGGAACACCCGAAACACCCTCGGCGTCGAGTCCAGCAGAAACTCGGACCAGACCGTGTCGAACGCAGATAAGTCCGACTTGATCTATGACATTATTTGTATTATATCATATGCAGTATAAAATAATATTATTTTACTTGAAGCACGTGGTTTACAAGGCGCAGCTGGAACGAATACCCCATGGTCAAGCACCGCAGGAACGTCGTGAGCGAAAAATCAAGTTCTGGTGACGTGGCATCCTCGTAGGTCACTGAATTCGTGCTGTCGTACATCCACCTTCCGTTCAAGTTTGACGTGGTAGATGCGATGGGGCTTGGAAAGGCTGCTGGCGAGTTTTTTGCCTAGTAGACACTCGATTAGACAAGAGGTATAACTAGTAGTACTAGTAGGACTAGTATTGACAGTTCGATTCGAAATTGGAGAAGGGTGTTGAACCGAAGGAGCAGCACCAAACCGATCGACGAATCAAAACCCAGAGCATTAATCAAGCGACCAATCATCAACCTCGAATTAGTGTATGACGCAAATTATTAGTTTGACATGGTGTCTTTTGATGGTATACAAAACTCGGTATAAAAGTCGGCCCACTATTGGAAGACTATCAAAATTCATTGGTGCAATCATAGACCGTTTAAATCAGCCATTGGTTTTGGTGTTGCTTCCAATCGAAAACTCTATGTTTCACTGATCAAAGCAATAAATCGACTGAAATATTCGAAAAGGAAACGCAAGCAAAACTACTCTGCACATCAATGGTCGATCCCGTGACACAAAATCGATGGATTTGGTGAATCAGCCCAAATATGAAATGTAGTTGGCTCAAAGCGAGCGCCATACTACAGTATATATATATATAGTTAAGTCCGCTAGCTCCAAACGCAGCTAGTACGCGGCCGAGGCCATTAAGTGCCCGCTGAGTGATCTTAACTTTACAGCGTAATATCAAATATCAAACAGTATATATATACTAAGTAAGTAGTACCATGTACACTTCTCGCAGCTGGGCCACAAAGTAGTCGAAGCCAGGCGAGTTGTGGTCACCCGTGGATTGGTCGAGTCGCCGGAGGCACTCGTTGATTGGGTTGAGTTCGCGTAACTGGGCCGCTGATTGCATGATCGATTTGGTGAGCTGGGGCAGGGTCATGTTGAACGGCGCCAATTGATTGGTCAAAATCCGGTGGCTCCATTGAATCCATTGGACAAACGCATCGTAAAGCGCATCGCGGTCCAATAAGTGGCCGGCATTCGTCGAGAAAAACGCAACGTGTTGGTGCAGCGACGCCAACGTTAAACTCGACAGCGCCTATAAAACGCGTTAATGTTATGACACGGGGTTGTTCACTGTAGTACCAAGTCGAAGCAAAACGATTTCAGCGACTCGACGTCGTCGCAGGTCGACACCATCGAGACCACGCCACTGCGCACGACGGACATGGGCACGGAGATGGGTGGTCGTTGGTGGTTCTGCGACAGAGTTTCCACCATGGGCTGCAGCAGCCGGTGCACGACGCGGTCGTGGAGGTTGGGCAGCTGCCGCGAGAAGAAATGGACGGATGGCGTCGACAGAAACGTTAAAAACACGCTCAAGTGCCGCTCCATCGCCACTGGATCGTCCAATCCATCTGCGACACGGTTATATATATATATAATTGTCCATTCATTTGACCTACGTACGCAAGAGGGGTTTCGCAAGAGGAAGGGGAGTATTCACCACAGATAAGTGCCGAGTGTTGTTGAACTCGCCTTCGCACGCGCACTCCAACGGGGTCGCTGGAGGCGCCAGTCGGTCTTGCTGGAGGCGGTGCTTCTGGCAGACATAGCACGCCCTGCGATACGACATGACGATGAACGGGGGCGACGAAGTTGATTGAACGACTCGGAACTTGGTTGGATCGGTAGCTGCGTACTCGACGACGTAGCCCTGCCAAAACGAATCGTATATAGTATTACTAGAATATGGATTTTAATATATATATATATATATAATATATATATATATATGAAGTAGTTAGTCTTCACGTTACCACCAAATGATGCAAACATGCGCGGTGCACTTGGTTGGACGATCCAACCCACCCATAGTGCCAGCCCAGGTTGTTGTTGTGGTTGAGTTGAAACACCATCTCTTGACTCGTCTGGGTACATATATATATATATACTTAAATTTGTCATTATATATATATAGGACGGATGTACCTCGTTGTGATACGACGACTGACTGGGCATCCACTCGCCCTTGGGGTTTTGCAGAGATCGGCAGCTCCCCAGAATAAGCTGCGCATCGAATACATCCCCCACCTGATACACGCGCATATTGGCTTCTTGGAACCGCGCAAATGCATACACATCCTGGAGAGGGGCGACTCCCCCCAGTTTGAGATCGATGGACGTCGAGCAAAAGTTGCCGTACGAATGGCTCGGGCAGCAGTGGGGAAAGCACCTACACGACCCGAGCACCAGACTCATCAACTCGAAAACACCACTCCATCGAGTTCGCGTACCGGATCAGCTACAAGCAAAACCAGGTTAGTTACTGGATGTATGACGCTATTCGCTACCTTGAGACTGCCGGTGCGGTGGGTCCTAGCGCACACACACGAATTGGGAACTGGCGACAGACTCGGACGTACCTGAGGTACTTGTAGCTGAAGAGGGCGTCCCTGTGGGCTGTGCAGTTGGTTTTGGCAAAGGCTAGCGTGACCATCGATCGACCGGAATTGGGTGGTCACTTGCCAAGCGTGGGACGTTATATCGTCCACGTGCAAAGACAAAGATTATGGTGTTTCGGTGAAATCTATACGTATACTAGACGTCAAAAGTCGAATAACTCTACCAATTCGTTGAGTTTTACCCCTTACGTTTTATCTGGTGGTGAGTCGTCAACGCTGTCACCCCTCCGATGGCGTTGACGTTGTGCTTTCATGGAGTCATATTATGCTACTTGAAGACATATTATTCCCGTGGAATCGACAATTGACTAAAATGATCGCTTTCCACACTTAAACTAAACGGATAATTTGACATAGTCCTATGGTTTGACCGTTTATTATTGATACGTCACGGTTACGGCAATGTCCCAGCGATATGGTCGAACCAATGTTGTGTCGATCTCAACGCCGAATAGCCACCAAAGGCTGCAGACTCATCGACAAAGCTGGAGGGGTCTCACTTGTAAAGTACTCCAAACACCAACTGTATGTATACATAGCATGGAACCCAAGGTACTGCGCCGTCATATAACATGGGAAGGAAAGGCGATGATGGAACTGGGTTTTTTGCAATCTCATCATGAATTATATCACCAAGTCGCGTTTCATCGCCCATAGTGTATTTACTGTTAACCAAGGAATTGATTTGTATTCTACGAGCTCTATCGTGTTGTCGTCATGGTGGTGGCAGTTCTTGGCATTTATGCTGCTCATGGGGTCCTCAAATAGCCTAAGAGTAAAGTAGTTCGTGTTATTGATTTGGTACGAATGTTCGGACTCACAAAACCTGTCAGTTCAATCGAATCACGCCGACCAAACCGATCACGAAACGCTCCCATTGGTCAATCTGAAAATGCTTCTCGCTGATTGGCTACATTCTTATTTCTTTTTACTTTGGGCTTTCTGCGGAATCGGGAAACTTCGAGGTAATTTGTGATCGGTTTTATAAATCGCGCAGAATTGGGAATTTTGTAGCAAAAATTCATAATACTACCGCCGCATTCTCATCAAGCAATCACAATCGACTTAATGTTAAAGTGTAAGACTAACAGAAACGTTAGTGTAAAACGAAGTGCCATTGTACAGTACCTCACGGGTGGATGGAAGGTCGGTAACCCAGAAACCCCGAAATCTAGCTGAAGACGACGTTATGGTATTTTAATCGCGCCAACAATGCAAACCCACTGACGGCATTGACAGGTACTATGCGTCTTAATGACTAGAATAGCGCTAAATTACCAAGGGCTGTATTGTACCGCCCTCAAACCATGTACCCATAGATCCACAATGTAAGAAGTGTTACTGGTCGGTATTATATAATAAATTTTGAGTGATGCGAGTGTGGTTAGATTGACAGTGTTAAAAGTGTTCTAGCTAGGACCAGGAGACTGACTCAAATCAACTAAATTGTACGCAGCACCTTTCCACGACTTCACAACCAAACTGTACTAACTGTAAAAACAAAGAATATACTAGTATATGCATGCTAGAAGGTTGGCTGGTCTCCATTTGTATCGTGCGTTTTATATTAATAGTTACAATAATAACAGGATTGGGAAACAGAATGGAAAACAAACCCCAAGTTCACTCTGGAGATGCAATGAAAAACTCGTGTGGTTTGGAAGTCAACATGTAAAATGGGTTGGGGGTTGTGTTTGTAGATCGCAGAGTATGAAACTATTCGAGAAAAGAATCTGGTCATGGGAACGTCTTTGGATTGAGCATCTCCAACGAACATAAGGCGGGGATACATTGAGGAAACGTAGTTATCAAAATTTACAGCTCCCAGTTCCATGCTTTAATATGATTGGCTATTAATTCCACGTCACAATTATGTGAAATTGGTTCATGTCAGTACTATTTCATCATCGATTGGTACGAAGTCGCCTCAGATCTCGAGTTCATACTAGTACCTCTAAAAACGTTAGCGACTTCAAATATGTATTCGTTACCTTAAGTCAAGCACGTTTCTTCACAGCGTTGTACTATGAATAGGCATTAAATAGGTTCAATTTCATCATTTGCAACAAAAACTCAAAACACTTTTAAACCGAAAAACAGGTAAATATATCATCAGTAGCCATAAACCCAGTAACGTTAGTAGTAACGTTAGGACACTCTATCGACCTGGAACTATACATTGCTCACATGTCAAGCGGATTACTAGTAGTACAGTGTATTACTAGTAGTAGTAGAAGTTAGCGTGCACAAGCGATTGTGTTAGGTCTAATGAAGTCTGATACACGATTAAATTGAAATATCCCATGAATCGCATTGTTTCAACTCGTAGAATCGAACAAAACCACACGCAAATGAAAACTTAGTTTGAATTACGGGCTTGGGTAAACAATTGAGCATAGATATTGTCGATTTGATACAATTTTGGGGAGGGGGTGCAATCGAATCGCGCCGACCAAACCATTCCACAATCGATCTGATTGGTTGAATTTCATTTAGAAGGTTTTGATTGGCTAATAATGTTGAGCTCATCTGAGGTAGCCAATCAAATCGATTTAAATTCCAACGAGAACCACGCCACAACACGAAATTTCACTCGAAAGCACAATAACTTTCTTAGTTGCATTTGTTGATTTATACAAAGTCGATAAAAACAATCATAAAGTTTTCTCCAACACATTATTTACAGTAAAGGGTAAGGCCCCGTCTGGTAATATTTCAAAAATAATTTTCCATTTTCTCGCAAAATGGGATGAACAAAATGCATTTCAACAAATGGAGGTAAAAGGTCCAATTTGTAATATGGCGCTTTGGTACCACTTCAACGAGTAAATTCCACTTGGTATTATTGGATTTGGGTTAAATCTCTTCCAGCGAGAATTATTTCAATGTTGATCAGATTTGTTGAATTCGACCCCAAAATGGCGTTTTGGGCCTGAATATTGCAATATTTCGTGTTGCCAAACGGGCCCTAAACAGTCATAGGGGTTTCTCCAACATTATTATTGCAGGGAAATGAATCTCGCAGCACGAGAATTCCAAACTCGTAACTTCGATATAGCAAGGTATAAGGAGCATTGATTTACTATACTTGGGATGATTTCGGATTCCACTTAAGTAGGTACTTGCCGGGACTATTACATGTTAACGATGCGAAATGCAGTTTATGTTATCGATGCGAAGTGTAGCTTACCTCAACCAAACCGTACAAGTGTATCAACAATGGACGGGCATAAACAGCTTTTGCATTGTCAAACCATTTTTTAATGATAAAAACAATATCTATTATAAAAATAATATCAGTAGTAAATAAAGTTTCAAAACAATTATGTTGGCGTTTCAAGTATTGCCGAATGAAGGACGACTTGAAATAGTTTTTCGGCTACACCCTACTAGTACACAACATATAAGACACCATTGCAATATTCACCTTGACATGTGGCTTGCACCTTGGTGTAAGTGGCTCGTTACGGCTTGCTGTTCGGTGGCGGTTAATAACCCCGTCCATCGCCGTTGTTGATAACGAGCTCTCTATGATTGGTTGACAGTGAACCCTCACATGTAAACAGAGTAAAGCCTTAGAACAAGCATTCCTATTAGCAATGGTCTTGTAGAGGTGGTGAAGAAATGCACTCACCACGTAAAGTTACCCGGTCCCACTCAAAAAGATATCTCGGTCAGGACTAGTAAGTTATCGAGGCAATGGCGAGCTTCTCTCAAACATTTTGATAGACCCGCCATGGCGTCGTTGACCTGATTTGTCCAAAGCAAACTCGTCCCAAGAAGAAGGGCTCGCTGCGAAACAGTGTCGACAGAACCAAGTGCTACATATAGCTAGTACCAGTAGTATGCCTTACAGGACAGGTAGTGCGCCACCCTCACGCTGTCCAGGCTCGCACAGATTGCGCCATCGAAGATTTGGCCACCTTGCAGGCACTTGACTACTAGGAGTACTAGTAGAGGGGAAGTAGATGGGACATTTTCTTCAGCAGCGAAAGATTCTTATAAGACGCATTTGACGCCTACTGGAGTGCATGCTGCACTACTACCGGTAGTAGTAGTACTACGTAGTATGTGTCAAAATTGACCAAATGAACAGTATACTGTATCTCCACATTTGACAATCCCACGAACCCCTCAAGACCATCGTCCCCAGGTTCTAGCAGAACAAAACTGCGTAACGTTTACACTGTTCTAAACCCATAAAGATCGTGGTTTCAAGGTTCACTGGTTGCAAAAGCGATAAAAAGGTGTCTGCCAACAAAGACATGAGGGGCGTGAAGTGCGGTTGTCAGGAACCGGGAGCTGGTTTACAAGGGACGTCGGCCGTGGAGGAAGGGCTTGTGTTTTCACTGTGGAGGATCACGGTCATATCGTACGACGACCCCTCCATTGTGAATATTGCGCTCTCAACACTCGTAGGATAGCACCAACAGCATGACCGAACATTACAGGTTTCCCTTCTTTCGCACCATTTAAAGTCTTACATAGTCAACTTACCCTCCATTTATGTTATATGGAGGGCCCTATCATCGTAGCCACGCGGGATTACGAGCCCTTTCTTTACCTTGGAACGAATGTAAATATACCACAGTATGATCACAACGCTGGGGTCCAGACATCGACGAACGTGACCACGTTTCTCAGCACATTGATATCGACAAGTCGCCGCTGTTCGTATATGCCAGAGGCACGGGGGGGGGAACGACCCCGCGGGGGGCGAGTCGGCGACGATTTACCAAGAATGTAAACAACTCCACGAATCGGACACGGTAATAAGCAGCATGAAGGACGCCACTCTACAGATGCATTTATTGGATTGATATGACGATTTTGATTTGATCATTCGATATTGCGTCTTTGCGAGAAAGTGCGTTGTAAACCAAACCAACACAATCCAGCTACGGGTTAAGTGCATACGATAGCTAACCACAACGATGCAACTTAACCCCAGGAATAGCAACACAGGGGGCCCGGGGAACAGGGCTCGTAGTTCTCTTGAAGGAAAATGATTCGAGGGAATTACTCGTCTATGAATGAGAATGTATGGTACTGTAATCCAATAATAACATAGTAGTAGTACGTATACTATTAATAGTACGACATTTGGATTGGTCAAACTGTACTAACAAGTATTAGTATGACGTGATTGCTCCGGCCTTGGTCATAGTATACTGGTATATGCACGCACGGTTGGAAATATGAGCCAATCACATCCGATGGATTCTCAAGTGATTGTGCATCAAAGCGGCACAGTAAACAACTACTTACGGTAGTAACGTGGGTTCAGAAGGTGGAACTCCCAGTAGGATTTGTTTATCACACAGGGTTAACAGTAAAACGTACTCCGGAGTTACTCTTACTGCGTTTTATCCCGTCCCCGGTCAAAAGTCTGCCAAATTAAATACATTTGGCCCAACAGGTTTCACTGTGCAACCTAATACTATTCGATTCTACAGTTTCCAACATACCAGACATGTATTAGTCGACTCGACGCTATTGGCTAATCCAATTTTTGAGTGGATTTGATTGGTTCTTACAGAAAGGGCATGTAGTATATTGACCTCCAGCGTGTTTCCATACTTATTAGTCAACCTACGCGTTGTTTTATCGCGAATTCACAAGAACGGTGTCACACTATTTCAACCGCGTGTAGCCAAAGCGAAAGGTCGCGCTTGGGGTCTCCCGGAGCTTGTCGTATGTGGCGTACCGTTGGCTGGCATTAAGCGCGGCGTAGTCGACGGTCGGCGCCGCGTCCGCGTGCGTCACCGACACGACTGCCGTCAATCCAGTCCCATTCCGCGCCAGGACGATCGAGACCCTCGACACCATCGACCGGTCTGCGCTTCTCGGCCAGCTAAACAGGTCCAATGACACCGTGTTTAACGAGTACGTGGCAATGTAATCGCCATGGGACAGCCCCGCCAGCCTCGCCATGCTGCTTTCTCCATTTGGAAACACCCGAAACACCCGCGGCGTCGAGTCCAGCATAAACTCGGACGGGATCGTCGCAAACGGCCGCAAGCTGGATGTGATCTAGACAGGGGTTTAACACGTTCGGGAGGGTATACGATTCTAGAGCGTATAAGATTATAGGGTGTATACGATTATTGGAGGGAATGTGGCTTACTTGGAGACTGGGGCGGGTGGTGTGGCGTAATGTGAATGCATATCCGATGGTAAGGCACCGCAAGAGCGTGGGAAGGGAAATGTCCTCGTCTGGCGGGGAATTTTCCTCATACACGACCGACAGCGTCCTGTCAAAGAGGAATTGGCCGTTGAAACCCGACCCCGGTACCATGTCTGAGTCGGGGAAATATCCCGAAACCACGTGTCGATGGGCGTCTTGTTGGGCCTGCGATAGCATTCAAATCGGTCCTTAACGGCATCTCGTGCATGACAATCTCATCCATTTGGAATGTCTTACCATGTACACTTCCCGCAGTTGTGCGACAAAGTAGTCAAAGCCGTCGTCGTACTCTGTTAAAAGGGAAGTCGATGACAAAAGGGGGTGCAGAAGCGGCACCACCGCCGCGGCGTCCTGAATATGCGCGACCAGGTCGGGAATGGTCAGATTAAGCGGGTAGAGTCTCGTGGTTAAGTTCGCGTGCAAGTTGCTTAGCCATGATTGGTAGGCAGAGAGCAACTTGTCTCGGTGCAGGAGGTGGGGGGTCGCGGTGGCGAAGGCCATCTCCGACTGTTTGAGGGATTCAAATGTAAACAATGACAAAAGGAGGTCCAACGCCACCGATTGCAGCGACGCCAATGTGTTGGAATGGTGGTGGAGACGGTCCTTATTGCCAGGGAACGACGGCCGGAGAAACGCGGGGAAGCCCAGCAAGCGCTTCTGGTACGTGTTTAAACCGAGGGATACCCCCAGAGGGTGCAGCAGACTCTTGAGCACCCGCGACTCGAGCGACGGCATGTGTGCGGCAAAGAAGTTGATGGATGGAACCGACATGAACGCGTACAACACGTGCAGGTCCCGCTCGAGAGATTCCGTCGGCGGCGGCAGCGGAAGAGGAGACGACGACGAAGAAGAAGACGGCAGCTTGAGCTGCTTGGACGGATCTACTCTATACACATGACCAAGATGCAACGTCGAAGTATGTTGGGGTGTACAAGGTTGGGTGTGGGCGGGATGGTGTGTCGAGATGTTGAACTCGCCTTCGCATTCGCATGCACTGGACATGGGAGAAGCGTCCAGCGGAAGAGACGAAGGTACCCGGTGCTTCTGGCAGAAGTAACAAGCTCTGCGATACGACATGACGATGAAGGCAGGGGACATTGTCGCATGTACAACCCGCAGCATGGGTTTCGCATGCCCACTCACTGAACTGAACATGTAGCCCTAAACAAAAACAAAGAATCCTCAAAATTAACACAAAAAACGCAAAAAGTTGCTCAATAATTTGACAACAATGCGAAACAATTCACTTTGTTTTACAAAACACTCAAAAATCAATCGATAATTCGCGAAAACGCGAAAAAATACACTTTTTTTATAACAAAAAACTCCAAACATCACTCGATAATTCGCCAAAACGCGACTGTTTTAATAAAATACTCCAAAAATCAAATCGACAATTCGCCAAAACGCGAAAAAAGCTCGGACTCACTTACCACGAGGCGATGGGGACATGTGCGGTGGGCTTTCGTGGACGTGCCGACCCACCCGTAATGCCATCCAAACGTGTTATTCTGGTTGAAGTGGTAGATGGTTTCGTTGCGCGTCTGGAACCGGGTTTATACATGTATACATGTTGTCAGGTATGGGAATGCCAGTGTGTTGGATCCAGGGAAGAGTGTGTGGTAGGTGTGGAGGTACCTCGTGGTAGTAGTGGTACAGCGACGGAATCCACTCGCCTTTGAGGTTGTCCATGGAGCGGGTGTTGTTGACCACGATGGCTGCGTCGATGATGTCGTTAGGCTCGAGGATGCGGTCCGTCGTGGGCTGGAAGTGGACGTACGCGACATTATCGGTCGTCGCGCCGGTCACTTTCAAGTCTATCGACGTCGAGCAAAAGTTCCCGAACGAGTGTGATGGACAACAGTGCGGGAAGCACCTGCACAAGCCATGCCATATCAGAGATGTCCTCATGTAGCGACGCTGCCAACATGATGACATCGTACCGAATCAGCTACAGAGAGGGAGGGTAATGAGCACAATACTAAAATCTCAAGAGATCGATCTGCGGGACGAACCTTGAGACTGCCGGCGCGATGTGTGCTGTGCATCACACAACACCACGACGACCATGAGAGTGCATGCCGATGACGTAGGAATGGCATGTGCCTTACCGGAGGTACTTGAGACTGAACAGCGTCTCCTTGCATGCGCAGTCCTCCTTGGCGAACACCAGAGCCGGAGGTGTCGACGGCTGCTCTGTCATTCTACCTATGGGACTATGTATGCAGGCGGCGTCTCCAATCGGATGGGGATACTCCATCATACAAACTTCCAGTCCAAGTGGACGGTCACATTTCGCCGATAGATATGTAGGGCTAGGGCCTATGGGTCGCATTCCATAAAAATCAGCGAGTAATCTTTCAGAACCTATCATACCATACATAATGTACTACATCACCACTACATAGCGTTGCTCTAGAGTACTATGTTCGAGTACTATTAACTTGCACTTTGCTTCCCATCCGAGCGGGTTAATATCTATTTATGTTGTGGTTCTTGACGAGAATATATGAGGGAATAATTCCCAGCAAAATATTCTATTGACTGCTTTTGGAATAATTCTCTCATTCAAACAGTGGGCCTTCATCTTGCCTACCGTATTTCAATTGGATAGCTAAAACCTGTAGCTTTGGACCTTGGGAATCATGTAGCCCCAAGTATCTTGGGAAGTTTCTGTGTGTATGACCGGTAGTACAAGGCTCAATCCCTCGGGTAAAGAGATGAGGGGGTCAGAAAGCACTGTACTTCGTAGTAGTACTATAGTATCAAGTTGTCTTCGATATAAGCCATCCCACTGTCTTTAGTATTTGCCAAGTTCAGGTTATTCTGACATAACTCCAAATCAAACGGCGACGTCATCTGGTTTGTCAAGTGCGGTTCAAAATCGTCTAAGTGCGAATGGACTGGAAACCCTTGAACTAAACAACTGGTGTCGAAAGAACGCATATCAGAACCGTGGCGACTCTCCACGACACTATTCAAGTATTAAGCTGTTCCACGTTATCCATCATACACTATTTCTGGTTCGACCTACGTACACCCATCAGCTGGCTCGGACGCATCGTGGCACGACGTCGTCTGCGACGATGGACATGCCAATGTCCTCTACGAAGCAACCGTGGCAGACAGCTCCATGGGCGACTCGCTGGTACATTCCCCGTCGAAGGCCATACTTACACCCATGTGGGTGTATCTACCATCTCAGTCCGACCAAGCAAGCTGTTTAGGCCATATTAAATGGCTCAGGACGGTAGACACGACATAGCTATCAATGTGGGACGATTGTCCACCGATACAAGCTGGGGGGGCGGTCCAGAACACGACGCTCCAGATGGTCGTATGGGAATAGAAGTCGCCCCTCCTCCAGTGTGGACAGAGGAGGTGGCACCACTGTGCATCTGCTGGTTGACCTGCGCAGACCGAAAAGGTATGCACGAGCAGGAAGATGAGTTGGCGATGGAGTTTGTCAAGGAAGGATGCGACTGCCATCGACCAGTGTTCGAACCCAAGTACCTCAGGTACTCACACATACAGCCAAGCTAGCATTCTCCTCACTCGTTGGACGTAGAACCCACCGCGCCGGCAGCGTCAAGGTACAGTACATACCCCTACTACTACTACGTACGATGTACTACCACTCCATCACACTCGCGTCGTGTCTAGTTGATCCGGTACGACCTTTGTTCTTCTCATCGGGGCCTCTAACGATCGTACATGTAGGTGCTTTCCGCACTGTTGTCCATCACACTCGTTTGCGAGCTTTTGCACGTCGTCTATTGGGTTGACCGTGTCCAGTCAAGATGTCGACACCGTCGCATTTCTCCGGTTTCAGTCCGCGGCGACATCCACGTTGGACCGCGGCGCCGTCATCTCCATCTCGGACGTCCGCACGTCGGACAACGTCAAGGGCGAATGGATTCCCAGCGAAAGCCGGTCGTTGTTAGTACGTTGGATAGTAGGTCCTACCTACTACAGTCCCTAGTAACCGTGTCCCAGGTCGCCACGACTGCGACGCTGTTTCGGTTCAACCACGTGCATCACGTGGGATGGCACTACGGGTGGATGGGTACTTCAACCAAAGCCCACCGGACGTCGCCGCATCACTTGGTCGTACGTAGTACTACTAGTCAAGCCAAACGTCGTCACAGACACGACGGATGTACCGTAGGCGTATGTACTGCAACGGTCAGCTTCGTCTTCAACGACCAAGGCGGCGGCGGCGTCGGATGGCGGCCGGTTCGTGGTCCGAGGAGTGCTCACATCCCCATCTTTCATCGTCATGAGCTACCGCCGCGCCTGTTATGCGTGCCAAAAGCACCGCAATCACACTGCCAGCACCAAGTGCGAGTGCGAAGGCGAGTTCAACGTGTCGTCTACATCAGCACCATCACCGCCGCCGCCGTCCACCTCGACAACCTCTCAAGGTCGTCGGCTAGTAGTACTAGTAGTAGTAGTAGCCTCATATCCATCATTCGATCATCATTCACGTCGAACGATAGAGCGTCCTCTTTCTTCGACTGCAATCGAGAACGACCTGCGGTCGATCTTGCACTGCGTCCAACTCACACCACTGGGCGCGTTGGTCCGCTACTTGCCAGCCATTGAAAGCCACCTCGCGCGTCTAGTTCTAGGCCACAACTACAAGGTCGCGGCGTCACTGCTGGCTTCCCTTGTCCATGCGTCACCCCATCGGCGTACATGCCTCTTGCTTCCGCCATCATCATCTCATATGTTCGTAGGCCACCAAGGAGAACAACAAGTCGACGGGTTGGTCGTCGAGTGTGTACTGCAAGCCCTCACCAGTGCCTTCTCGAACAACTACCGCACACACTTTGGACATTACGCGACCTTCCTCTTTGATAAGCCGGCGCTCATCGACGCATATAATCACTGGGTGGCGTGGTGGTCCAGTCAAGTGACCCATCGACTCGCCAGTCACTCGAACGCGTCCTTGGCGGAGCTGGCCCGTCGCATTAATAAGCATGCCGCCAGCCCCATGCTATCGATGTCCGACGGCGTCGAGTACTTTGTGGCCCAACTGCGAGAAGTGTACTTGGTATTACTGCTCTATACCTTCGATGTTTAACATGCATGATACATGTAGGGAACCGCCGGCCATCCTTCCAAGATGCCGTTTCCACCCAACAATGCGCTGGGCACGATGCACGGACTGTGGACGTTCAGCCATGTGCATGGCGGCATCGACCTTCGGCTTCCCATGTCGTTGCTGACCGTGCTTCGATGCATGAGCATGCTCTACGTGATGGACATCGGAACCGCCAAGGACGAGTGTGGGGCGTCTGTCCTGCATGTGCGCGCGCCCGTGCCGCTCTACAACACGATTGGGTCCATCTTTGTCGTCGACGGCACGCCGCGGGTGTTTCGCGCGTTCCCCAACGGAGAAAGCACCATGACCAACATGTCTGGGTTCATCCATGGGGACTATATCGCCAACGCATCATCACCGCACGATGCCGTGGAAGTGCGTGTATTCAGCTGGCCCGTGGATGCGGCCTTCGCGTATGTAACGCGATGTCGCGCGGCCGTTGCTCCTGGTTCAACGCAGATGTCCCTTGACATCCAAGTATGCCGATTCCCCGTGGAAGCGTCCTTGGACTGGTCTACCATGACCTCCATCGAGCGATGCAGTCACTACCGCCGAGACATGGAAGCTCCCGTCTTTCAAGGTTGCTTTGTTTACATCCCCCACCTAGAAATTCCGTAACTGCCGCCATCAACCCAAAATATCAAACACGATTTTTTCGTCCAAACAATATTAATATTCACGAAAAATTCCAAAATGATACAATTATCCAGCATTCCAACCAATCGAATCACGACATTTTGAAGAAATCCACCAATCAACGCAAGTTGAAAATGCACGTCTACTTCAGCGTCGACCAGCGCCACCATGGCGTCGGGCCGGTCAAGTATGCATGGGATCCGACGGGAAACTTCCTCGCGTCTACGGGAAGCTCCCGCGTGGTCCACATCTTCGACCGACGCGGGGAGCTCGTGGACCAAATCGTGCCGCCGTCGCCGTCGATCTGTACCCATGTGGCATGGAGCAACTCGCGCGACCGCAAGGTCCACGGTACGATATATAGATCCCTCGTTCCTCTCTCGATCGCATGACGTGATGCTGACCCAGTATATCGATGCAGGGTTAACCCTGGCAGTGTCGCAAGCAAACTCGTCGGTGCTCGTGTTGTGGTCCGCGGCAACGCACACGACCCATCACGTGGACGTGAACGTGAAGGAGATCACGCTGCTCTTATGGAACAAAGCCAAGTCCACCACCATGGAAGGTGTACCTATCATGTTGATTCCATGTCATGTTCATGTATGTGTGTAGGTGTCGAGGACAACTGCATGTTGCTCGCGATCGGGACATCCAGGGGGCAAGTCGTGTTCTACGACATGCCGGACGAAGTCGTGTCCTCCGCGCGTGTCCATCGAGTCGCGCTTCGACCGGCCTTAGCCAAGCACAAGAAGAAGATCTTATGTGGGGACTGGAATGCCCAGAACGAGTTTGCGTTTGGAAGCGAAGATCGCCAAGTGTCCATCTGCTACGGAAAGGACGGATCGGTGATCGACCAGGTCAAGATCAAGGCGGCGCCCGTGGGCATCCACTTTGGCGGCCGCCGCTCGACCGCCGTCAAGCGCATCGTAAGCGTCAATATGGGCAGGGAAACTATTCTTCTCTACGACCTCAATGAGAAGGACAACGCGCTCGAGCTGGCGTTCCAGGCGCGATATGGAGACATCGTCGACTACCGGTGGTTCGGCGCGGGGTACATCGTCGCAGGCTTCTCGCTCGGCTATGTGGTCGTGATTTCTACGCGTATGTCCGTCCTTTCTCTGCATACTGTAGGGGAAACCCATCTTTGACATGTGGTATATGTATCCCTGCAGACATGAACGAGATCGGGCAAGAGCAGTATTGCGCCAAGTTCCACGACACTTGGCTCCATGCGATCTGCTACAACGAGATCAACGGCATGGTCGCGACCTGTGGAGACGCGTGCATTAAGGTCGTGCGCATGGCCGACTGGAAGGTACGAACGAGGACGTGCTTCGTGAGGGGAATCAACCACGACGACGTGTATGTAGGAGATTGCGATGGAGAACTTGCACCGCGACGCCGCCGCGTTCGACGACTTGAATTGGACCGTTGACGGTCGCTTGCTCAGCGTGAGCTGTCACAATGGATGGCTGCATCACTTCAAGCTCGTGCACATGGAACAAGCGTGTACTACCTTGGACAGTGCCGCATTGCCCTCCGCCGCGCACTTGATCGCCGCCATCCTCACGCCGTTCACCCCCCCTGTCCTCGTGTTCACTGTCGTGTCGATGGTCGGGTGCATTACGCTTGCCATGTCGTGGGCGCTGGAAGTATCAGTGTGGCAGCTTTTGCAGGCCATGTTCGGGTTTGGACTTCGGTTGTAAAGTTGTAACGGTGCAGTTATCCATGTGAGATACGTCAACGACATGGGGTCATGCTGAGATATGTCGGGCGGATCAAATGGTTGGTCGCATGAAGTGACACCAGCCTTGGGTCAAACCACAAGGGTGTTGCTTCACCTTCTTCATGTTTCGTCCTCTCAAGATGCATGCATGACCTCACCCACCTTCGGCATCAACAGATTGCGGCATTGTATACAGTACTCGTGGCGGCGAAAATTTTATTGTCCGCTGGATCCTTGGAAACCTTTGCGTACCCATCATCCGGATAACGGGTACTGTACAATCGTACATTGCATACAAATATCAAGATAGGTCGTACATTGGCCCCCCCTTCAACGCGTCGCCATAGAACCGGATACGTATCCGGACTTCTGGATTCGAAATATCAGCGCATTGAGGTTTGTGGACATTTTCGTAGTTGCTTCAGACATGCTGCTGAACAAAACCAACACGCCGACGTCGTACGGGTCGACCAAGCCAGGAGTCGCCCTCATGTACCAGGCGCAGCAAGCACATCGAGAGAATGACGTGGAAGCGTCCCGCTCCGTGCACATCGCCAAGATTGGTCATGCGTGCGAAGCCCACTTGAAGGACGGCGGCCACATCAAGAGCGCGGTCTACGGCGGCTTGGACGGCATCATCACGACGTTTGCGACCGTCACGTCGGTGGCGGGGTCGGGTCTCCCGCACTCTGTCATCCTCATCTTGGGGTTGGCGCACTTGGTGGCGGACGGCATGTCCATGGGCATGGGGGACGTGTTGAGTAGCCAAGCAGAGATCGACCTCGTCAACCACGAACGCGCCAGAGAGATGTGGGAGTTCGACAACTTCCCTGAAGGTACCACCACTCACCACCTACAGACGATGTGTGATGACTGACTAGTAGTTGTGTAGGGGAAATGGACGAAATGGTCGAACTGTACGAGCAAAAGGGGATCGCGACCGAGGACGCCAAGCTGGTCGTGAACACGTTGGCCAAGTACAAGGAAGCGTTCATCGACATCATGATGGTGGAAGAGCTCAACCTCATGCCCGTGGACGAAGACGACAACCCTGTCATTGGAGGTATACAATCATCTTCTGATGTATCCTCAATATGGAGCTATAGGTCTGGTGACATTTGGGTCGTTCGTGTTGTTTGGGGCTGTGCCTCTGTTTTCGTACTTGGTGAATCTCTTGCCTGGGGTTCAGTTGACGAGCGAAGAGGCGTTGTGGGGGTCTTGCGTCCTCACGGCGCTCACGCTGTTCCTCCTTGGCGCGGTCAAGGTAATATATATCATATTAATATATATATATCATATTAATATATATATATCATATTAATATATATATATCATATTAATATATATGTGATTAGGGCCAATATGTCGGCCAAAAGTGGTTTGTGTCGGGGATGTACATGGCGGTGAACGGGACGGTGGCCGCGGGCACGGGGTGGATCATCGGGTACCTCCTCCAGCTTACTGGCGTCCAGAATGTTACCATGGGCTAGTATTACTAGTAGTAGTCATTCTAGTAGTGTAATGTAAGGCTTATTTTGGAACATGGGTAATTTTGGACTTTGTATTGGTGCTTTAGTGTTCATATGTTAGGCTGGTGGATGCAAACACTTCAAAAATTCTGTGATTTTGGTTGGCTATAATACTGACCAATCATCGAGCGTTTGATTATTATCCAATCACGTAGTACTATTAGTTTCCCATTGAGTCCCAACATCCACAGCATACTAGCATACTGTACCGACCGGTACACTGTACAGGAGTAGATGCAGCACGACAACGATTCGAGTAATCTACAGTAGTAGTTAGTAGCTACTACGTAGTACAAATGTAGCTACTAACTACTACTGTAGAATATACTACATACTGTATGTGGGTCTATATTGTACATACATTACACGCGAAGGTAAAAGAGCAGGTACGCGTGCTCGGCCAACGCAGCTTGTTTGGTGATGTACTGCACCGTGTCGTCATCATAAAGCGACCACTATGGACACAAAAGTCAGTCCAATATTATATATATACATAGACGGGCATAACAGGCAGTTTAATCTTCAGTATATATTGTATATAGTACCTGGTCCTTGGCATCACAACACACGGCTGTGTAGTGGCCGCCCACAGCATGCAGGCCGTGGTGCGAGATCACTAATATCATCAAATATTTGTGTCAAACTAGTACTACTAGTAGTAATACTACTCGTCACAACCTACCCGAGAACAACTTGTACTTGGCGGCCTTTTTTGTATGGTGGAGCAACGTGGGCGAAAACAGCGACGGTGGCAGCTCCAGGTCGGTCGGGTACTATTCCATGCATCATATATATATATATATATATTATTCACAAATATATATATATATATATATACCAGAAAAATGATATATGTATTACCTGCACAATCGTGTTGAGCTTGAGCGGGCCTTGGACCGGGTCGTACGTGAAGCGCTTGACGTGCAAACTGAGCACGACGGGCAGCGTTTCGAACGCCGTTCGTTTCAACGTGGACTGATCCAGCGCCTGTCCAAAGCTTGTTTCAAACGCGTTCGAAACAAATAATTACCTCGTCTTCCATCGTGGCACGGATCATCTGCGACAACGTGGCGGAATCGGTGGACGGGGTTGTCAGATGCAAGCAATGGAACGGCTCGATCGTCGCCGCGCCGACCTTTCGTCCGGCCTACACATATAGTACTACTAGTAGTAGTACTACTATATGTGACATCGTACGTACCCGGATCAGCTCGGACCGTAGCGTGCCCTTGAAGAGGTACGTGATGGGCGAGTGAGTGTCGACAATGTTGTGGTGCACGGCGGCCGCCTTTCCGTGTTTCTGGATCTCACTCCATCCGTCCAACGGGCTCACTGTATCGCAGGGCGAAGGACTTGTCAACGGAAACGTACTATGGCTGGCTTCATAGTCCACATGTAAATGCTCCAGGAGGAATTCGAGGAACTCGAGCGCATCGTGCTGCATGCCATTGGCCGATTGGAATAGCCGCAGAAAGTACGGGGACAAGATCACCGGCGCTGCCGACGTCCGTCGCATGATCGTCCTTTGCTGGGCTAATGTGGGTTCGTCCAGCTCCCGAACGAGGGTCACCAGATGCTTCCATCCGACCAGTGACGCTTGATGAGATGACACGGACGAGATGTCGCCGACCTTGGACGAGAGATGACATAGCAGACTAGGACAACCAACTCAACATGATGACAACGAAGGTATGGAAGAAGGTACTTTCGAAAGGGCGGACACGCTAGTAGGGCCTGGAACGTGACGTTCTGGAAGCATGTGTTGCCTTGGTTGACGAATCCCCTGCATGTGATGAGGTGAAGAAGATGAAGAAGGGAGGGAACCGGACCGACGTTGAAGGTCCTTGGCGCTTTCGTGGAGGTCCAGCTCCGTCAGAACTTGCTCGAAGGCCACCTCCAGAGAAATCGCCGGCTTGGCTTCTATGGTTCCGACGGGAGTTGCTGGTGTAAATGGGGATGGATGGGATGCTGCTGCGACTGTGGGTTTGCTCAGGTTGCTCCACGAGAACGGCTTGGGCTTCTGTGGCAAGTTCACGTGCGATATCGCCAGGACTACCGCATATACGGTCAGGCTGTGAGCATGCTTTGGGTCGTACCTACCTTCCTGGGTCTCCTCTGCGGTGAAGTCGCCGAACAAGATCATCGGCGTCACCATGCAGTTTGGATATGACGATGTCGGTGCTTTTTAAATGCCATTACATAATTTAATTCATGCTTGGTCTATCTTATTTGAAGTTTGTATGTGGGGGTTGCCATCGCGAATTAAATGCAATGGCGCTGTCAGAATGATGGTCGTTTGCATCGATGACTGTGCCTCGAAATGTCCCATTGGTCCAGAACTAACAAATAAATAAATCAAAAATACATTTCACCCCCAGTATTATTCATACTAATAGTCTAGTAGCTCGTTCTACTATAATCGTACCTACTATTAATAGTACTAGTCTTCACAGTCAAGTTGTTTACTCTTATGTTCGTGTTATAGGGTTACTACTACTAGTAGTACTAGCCCATGGTAACATTCTGGACACCGGTGAGCTGGAGGAGGTACCCGATGATCCACCCCGTGCCCGCGGCCACCGTCCCGTTCACCGCCATGTACATCCCCGACACAAACCACTTTTGGCCGACATATTGGCCCTAATCACATATATATTAATATGATATATATATATATTAATATGATATATATTACCTTGACCGCGCCAAGGAGGAACAGCGTGAGCGCCGTGAGGACGCAAGACCCCCACAACGCCTCTTCGCTCGTCAACTGAACCCCAGGCAAGAGATTCACCAAGTACGAAAACAGAGGCACAGCCCCAAACAACACGAACGACCCAAATGTCACCAGACCTATAGCTCCATATTGAGGGATACATCTCGTCCAAGAAGATGATTGTATACCTCCAATGACAGGGTTGTCGTCTTCGTCCACGGGCATGAGGTTGAGCTCTTCCACCATCATGATGTCGATGAACGCTTCCTTGTACTTGGCCAACGTGTTCACGACCAGCTTGGCGTCCTCGGTCGCGATCCCCTTTTGCTCGTACAGTTCGACCATTTCGTCCATTTCCCCTACACAACTACTAGTCAGTCATCACACATCGTCTGTAGGTGGTGAGTGGTGGTACCTTCAGGGAAGTTGTCGAACTCCCACATCTCTCTGGCGCGTTCGTGGTTGACGAGGTCGATCTCTGCTTGGCTACTCAACACGTCCCCCATGCCCATGGACATGCCGTCCGCCACCAAGTGCGCCAACCCCAAGATGAGGATGACAGAGTGCGGGAGACCCGACCCCGCCACCGACGTGACGGTCGCAAACGTCGTGATGATGCCGTCCAAGCCGCCGTAGACCGCGCTCTTGATGTGGCCGCCGTCCTTCAAGTGGGCTTCTGGTGCAACATGTCCCTTCTTGGCGATGTGGATGATGCGGGACGCGTCCTTGTCCTGCAGCAGGTGCGCGTGCTGGGCGTTCGACTTGGTGGCGCCGTACGTCGCAGCGTTCGTGGTCGACAGCATCTTATTGAGCAATGAAGAAGTGGTTTGAAGATATTTGCCAAGGCGTGTGCCAAATGGAAATGACGCGATTTCATTGGTCGGTGCTGGTCACATAAATCCAAGGCTGGAACGTTGCTGAGCTCAACACTGGGATACTGTGTACAAGGGGAATCGAAGTTGAACGCTCTTTAGTGACGTTTGATTGGCTTAGACACATCAAACTTCGATTCTGTCGACCAATCCAACCTCCTGGTTTGCAAGTACGCGAATCGGATTGGCTAATCTCCTTCGAACTTCGGGGTTTCGGGGTTTCGGGGGTTCGGGGTTTCTGTGGCGATTATTTGGATGGTTCTAAACTGCACGATGTACTGTACGTACATACTTACAGTTAGGACTTATTCCAGTGGTGCTGGCATTCAATAACTAGGTCAGCCATGCCGAGTATATACCATGGACATAACTAGCTAGCTATTGGTGTACTAGTACTATTGTCATAAACAGCAACCCCAACCAGCCATGACATTCGACCTCGAGTACTAGTAGCACTGTAGTAACTACTACAGTAGTACTGTATCGTCGACTGATACTTGGAATGTCTCGGTCCTTCTGAACCGGAGAAGGCCAGTATGCAGAGTCTAATTAAACGGTGGAATGAACCTGCCAAGTTGTACTTATATATATATGGAGTAGCCGGCTAGAGAGTCAAGTGCGGGCAAGAATGCATCAGTTTTCTACTACCGTATAGTGTATATGCATTGCGACGGATTAATCAATTGCGACTCCTGTAATAACTGATATTTACTTGTGAACATGTCGAATATACTTCAAATTTGTATGACGCAATGGATTAACAACATTTTGAGAACGAGTGTCGGCTGGTTGTGAAATATCACACATACGTATACACAATACGGTCTTTTGGAGGTAATTAGTCGTCCAAATTATATTATTGTGGAATTATTACTTCGTATATTTAAAAAAATAGTGCCGGAATTCGACGGTCCAGAGTGATGGTCCCTTGGGGGCGGATCCCACTGATATTAATAATTTGAATAGAGATGTTTGACGGTCAGGTGGGCCGCCGTACTCGCGTGAGCATGGGGGGCAAGAAGCTTCCTGCGAAGGAGCTGTCCAAGCACGACTTTGTCATAGCCGCAAGGGAAGAGCGCGTCAAGCGGGCGCGATCCCGCCTTGTCCACGAGACCAGCACCAAGCTGCAAGCTTGGTTCCGCGGTTGTCGCACGCGGGCGATTACTCGCGCGTCGTTGCAACACGCAGTGGTGGCGAAGTGCAACGACGTCGCTACGTTGCAACGCATGTACACGTTTGCGATCCCAGTGCCTGTGCTCACCCGTCTAGTCCAAGAGACCATCTTCGTCGGGCGGTTGTGGCAACCTCCAGCCACGGCGGACGCTGTCGTCGTGCCATGCAGCGTGCTGGGCTTGGTGCAGCAATCGTGGACGGCGCTTCAGATCGAATGGGATCGTTCCCCTTCCAGCAAGCACGAATGGACCGTCCGCGTCGCGTCGCTCTGCTCGCTCGTGTCGCGGCTGCGCCCGTCCGACCTACAGGGAATTCTCCCACTTGTGGCCGAATCCCTTCCCCATGCGCTCTACCTCTGGGCCATTCGTCCGTCGTTCGGGTTCTTTGATGCCGTCGTGGAGGCGTGGACCCGCGACCGCCATCACCGTGCGTCGTCCTATGTTCATCTATTTTCGCTCATCTATTCGATCCGGTAGAGTTCCCAGCGTTGGCGCCGTACGTGGATACATTGGTGCAGTCATATGCTTTGCATGAAGCGTTTGCTTGTACTTTGATGTCGCTGCCATTGAGTGCCCAGCAGCCCGCCTTGGTAAATATATATATATATATAGACCTCTCTCCACTCGAATATATATATATATATATATATATATATATATTGATATATTGATATGTTGACCTTAGAAACCATGGTTGGACGCGTCGTATTTGCATCTTCCTGCCAATACGTTGTGGATTACATCCCCGTGGCAGCAAGCTGTTGTCGTGGGCAACCTCTTGGATCTATTGGTAATATATATATATATATATATCTACGAATGCCTCTTTTTATATATATATATATATCGTAGAACTCGTATAATCAAGTGGAAACCACCGCAGTGACCCTCCTGGTCCAATATACTTGCCAGTCAGTGGTTGATTTCGCCTTGAACTCATCTACCATCCAAACTCAACTCCAACTCATTGCTTCTCGATCAATCGTGTCCAAACTATGGCTATCAGCGTTGTAAGTCTATATATATATATATATATATATATATATATATATATAAATTCATAATATGATATTTCTAGACAGCAGCCAACTCCTCGTCTGGTGTACGGTGTAGCTCAGGTGTATGCGTGGCTACTTACTGGTCATCCTTCATCTTCTCCATTGGTTTCCACGGTGCTATTTACCATCTCCAGCTCTTCCGCCATCCTCCGCCATGTATTTCGCCTGCTCCAGTCGCTTCCATCTCCGCTTTGGCTGATCTTTTGCTCCAGTTTTGGGTCTTATATCGACACTTCGGATGCCCACACCCTATCGAACCACTTTCCCCAAATCCCAGAACTTGTGACACTGCTCAGCCACACGTTATATGGGATACTGTGGCGCGAGTCGCCCACAGTGTACTCAATTGAGAGTGAGGCTCAACTGAGTGCGATGGTCCACCTCTTTAACCAGCTCCACGCCCGAGTTGAGTCGATTGCATTGTGGCCATCGCTGCCGATTCCGCCAGATGTGATGACGTTCGAAGAAGAGAAAAATGACAAAACCGTTAAGGTCTTTTTTGAATCCAACACTCGCGCCAAGCTCCAGTACGTGCTCACGACGATCCCCCAAGTGGTGCCGTTTGAAACGCGCGTGGCGCTGTTCCACTCGTACCTGCACCTGGACAAACAAAATGTACCTAATCGACACGTGTTTGCGGCGCTCGTGCCCCTGCGTATCCAGCGAGAGCACATTGTCACAGACAGTTTCGAGCAGTTTCATGCGATACAGTCACTCAAGGGACGTCTGCAGATCACATTTGTGAACGCCCAGGGCCTGGAAGAGGCGGGGGTCGATGGCGGCGGCGTCTTCAAAGAATATATTGACACGCTCACCAAAACTGCCTTTTCCACAGAGGTACGATATATATATATATATAATTACGACGTGTTGTAGGAGTTGGAAATATATATATGTATATTGCATGACTAGTATTGTTGGTTTACGTGTATAGCAGCTAGCTAGTACGAGTTGTTGGGTATATATATATATATATATATTGCCTTCATGATGGTGTTGTTTGATACTATTTTAGAGTCGGATTTGGGTATATATATATATATATATATATATTGCATCCATGTTGTAACGTTTGGTTTCACTGGTAGTATATATATATATATATATAGAGCGAGAGAGAGAGAGAGTGAAAACCCTCTTTATTATTTACTTTTAACAATATATATATCAATATATATTTATTTGGGACGCTAGTTTCCGTACTTTTTGGCCACGGACGACCACCAGTTGTATCCAAACCCCCAAGCCCACTTGTCGTCAGGTACGCTATAATACCATTATATTCTCTAAATAATATATATATATATTAGACGACGCCGTCGCCTATTTTCGGTTTCTTGGGCGGTTGTTAGCCAAAGCCATGTACGAGGAAATCCTGATCGAGCCCCAGTTTGCGCTGTTCTTTCTCAAGAAATTACTGGGCCAATTCAACTCGCTCGACGATTTGCGGTCGTTAGACGCCCAAATGTACCGCCACGTGCTCGAGCTCAAGACTATTCCAGACGTCGAGAGCCTCGGGCTCACGTTTACAGCGGCTTCGGGTCCCCGTACGACACTATTTTATATATATTTTTTTTTTTGAATATTTTTTTTTGGGTAGATTCCGTCCACGAGCTCGAAACAAACGGGGGCGAGGTGGCTGTCACTGGTGAAAACGTGATTCGGTACATCCATAAGCTGGCGGATTTCAAATTGAACGTGCAAATCGCCGCCGCCAGCCGCGCCTTCTTGGTCGGGTTTCACGACCTGATCCCGTCCACGTGGTTGCGTCTGTTCAGCCCGGTCCGATAGTCGTCTATGTGTATCTTCTATTATATGTATCAATATATATATATATTATTTACCCATGATGATTCCTCTATGACTGTGTTTTTTATTGTTTTACCTATGCAAAATCATCTATTTTTGTTTACAAGGAATGATAGACCGAGCTCCAGATGCTGATTGGCGGAGCCACTTATGATGTAAACGTGGCCGACTGGCAGGCGCATACGACGTACGGCGGCGGGTACCATCCGTCCCAGCCTAGAATCCAGTGGTTTTGGGAGATTCTAACAGATATGTCACCTCTCGAACGAGGCGATTTGCTCCGATTTATCACGAGGTTGGTACATATATTTATATATATATTTATATATTTATATATTTATATATATTTATATTTATTTATTTATTTATATATATATATATAGTCACGAAAAGGACTGGAGCAACTGTTTGATTGGTTGTCGTGAAATTGATATATCTTGGTCGTATTTCATACGAATTTCAACCATGGTGAATGAGAAAGTGTGTGTGATTGGCTACTTGATTTGTGTTGTGGGGATATGATTGGTCAATCTATATGTTTCGATGGAATATGGAAACTAGTAGTACTAGTATTAACTGTGAATCATCGGTTTAGTTGCTCGAGGCAACCGCTACTCGGGTTCAAGCACCTGAATCCGCTGATTTGCATCCAGCAAGTGCGAACGACCGACGACGACCGGTTGCCGTCGAGGTAAGAGTTTTTGATTAGTTGATTAGTTGAATTTAGTTAACGGGAAAATCATGCTTGATGTAGCGCCACGTGCATGAACTTACTCAAACTGCCCACGTACTCGACCAAACAAATCATGCGGGCCAAGCTGGTTTATGCCATCCAAGCCAAAGCTGGCTTTGAATTGTCATAGATTAATAACTACTAGGACTCTAATAATAGTAGTACTACTATTGCATCCATATAGAAAACTGGTGTACATGCTAGACACTGGGATACCCGACCATACTATAAAGTCGGATAGCAACAAAAACCTGAAAAGTACGACTAACAAGGGTGTAAAAGTAGAGATTCCAGCAAACTGATGTCACCACAAGCCATATACTAGAGCTTAGGAGCAGTACGTATGATCATGATGCAGGTATATTGTATAGAACCTGTATGAATTAGTACAATATAACTCATTACTTGTATTATAGAGTACTCTCACAAATTATATACCGTATAGTGTATATGTATTGCGACAGGTGATATTTCACATTAGTGGAAAAACGTCGGACAGGATATACAGGTCGTCGGACCGTTTGTCCGGCTTTCTTGTTCGTTGTAATATTTGTCCCTACACCTCGGCCACGGCTATAGCTGCATTGCATTTGGCATATAAGAGCATCCCCACCGGTGCGACTGTAAACGCTATTATACAGTTCTATCCGGACTATTTACAGTTTTGACAACCCCACCGGGCGACTGTAAAATACAGGAAACTGTAAATTTTACCGCGAGACGGCAAATCGGCCACATTTACAGTCGCGACTGTAAAATAGAGATTTTACGAATTAGCCAATAACATGCTA